ATATTATTATACCTTTTAAATACTTTGAGATGTAAGGATTCCTTAGTGTTAACTTGTTTAATAATTAAAAGGTCGTTCACCTTAAGTGAAGTTAAGACAAAAATAGGAATTTAGAAAAACTTTACATTTGAAATAAACTGTGCTGTACTTTTTTATTTTAACTTATGCTATTGCTATGCAGTATGATAGTTTTTAAATTTGGTTTGTATTCATTTTTATTTAAATGTTGAAAAGCACTTTCAATAAATCGGATGTGTACGGTTTATTAGTTGCCAGTCTATTTGATATTTTGCTAGAAAATAGTGAAGTCAACTACAATTTAAGTGTTCTCAATTTGCTATTAATTATGAACAAGACAAATGGCTACAAAAGATATAAATAAAGTTAACTGAGACCGAAATCATAAGAACTTTGATGAATGATAGTGGTACAGAAATGTTCCAATATAAAAAAAAAAAAAATTGAAGGAAATAAAACCCTATTAAACTAATTTAAGTATTTATAATAATATTCCACACATGGTTTGGACACATAAAACTGAAATTTTGACAACCTGTCTTGTAGAACACATTAGAATTCATTCATTATACATTTGGCAAATCAGATGATGTGATAATAAATACAGTTAGCTAAGTAATACTCATAAGTTTCTTTATCTAGAAATTTTAAGATATTGGCAATGACAGAAAACCACAACTGAATGCGTTAAATGAATAATCCTGATAACATGGTGTTTTTGGATTCGCTGTGTTAAATAACAAAATATCATCTAGAAATCCTTTAATCTAGTTCTACATGATTTCTATTCTTTCTCACAATATGCATTTAAAGTTATCTCAGTGCCACCAAGTGAACTCTGACCTGGAGATTATATAACAAGCAATATTATAATGCATTGAAGGCAACAAGAAATGCTGTTTGGAAAAAAGCTCTTGTAAATATTTAGCAAACGATGAACAATAATAAAATATAATATTTTATCAAATAAATACAAATAAAAATTAGAGAAGGCCTGCAGTAGGAAGATATAAATATCTAGAAAGCAATTTAGCATTAGGAATATTTCAGCCTTTTTAAAATACATCAAAGGCATGCTCTGATAAATTAATTGGTAATAACAAAGGAAGTAGTTTTATTCAGCTATAAAATATTCACTGTGTGATATATAAAAAGTATGAAAAAAAAAAAATTATTTACAGAATCATCTTTCTTATAAACATATGTAAGAACAATTTCAACAAAATTTCAAAGAATAATGCAGGCGTATTATAAGATATATAAATTATATATATTTTAGTTATATATAAAAGGTCACTTAACTGTACAAAAAAGTGTAAATCACTAAGTTTACTATAATCTAATATTCTACATTGCATTTAGCACTGAACAGCACTAAATGTAGTTACTGGCAGTGCACATAGTTTGGTTTTTTTTTAGTACACAGTGTTTTTCTCTAAACACTTGGCTACAGTCAACATCATTATAAAAATGTACTTAGAGGTGCTCTACATCATTTGATTATAGTTCAGTCACTGACAGCAGCAGTCACACCAAATGTCCAACTGTCCTTTTTGTTTATGTTTTTTAAATCCAAGAGTTCTCATTTTCATCTCCAAATGTCATCTATCCTTACATATATTATTAGTCAAGTTACCAGAATTTAAAAATCAGGAAACATTAAAAAAAATTGGTGTCTGTATTTATCTAGGAATCTGAAAAGCTATCAGTCCAGCCTACCAAGTCGAAAAGTTTTTAGTATTTACCAGGAACCCCCCTCGAATTGATACCCTTATTTTAGTTTTTTTTTTAAATACTTAGAGCTACCTGTTTTTTTTTTTTTTAATGAATGAACTATAAAACAAAGCTACTATATGTCAACATTTAAATTATTACAGTAAATATACTAAGGTAGCAGGCACCACTGTGCTAAATGAGGGCCCACGAAAGGATTTGTAATGTTTTATTTGCTTTACTTTAGATTCATTGGTATAGTTTTAATGTTATCATTTTACCCTAAGAGGGTCTCAGATGTACCGTATTTATTATAACACGCACCTCAATTTAAGAAGGAAATTTCAGGAAAAAACTAAACAGTATATCGGTGTATAATACGCACACATGATTTGCCCCTTAATTTCGGTGAGAAAAGGTGCGTGTTATACGCCAATAATTACGGTAATTAAGGTATTAAAAAAGGTATAATTAAGGGGAAACTACTTCAAAGAGATTCAGCAAACACTTTTCTTTCATACAAAGCGTTTATTTTTTTTTCAGGTGAAATTTTGTTCGCAATCCTTTTAAGGGTGGAAAAAAGCATTTTTTTAAACCTCTAAAAATCTCTATGGCTAGACAGATCTGATATATTTCAGAGTTACTCCACAAAAAACATTTTTGTGTCTATTTTTCTATCTGAAAGATTCTCATTGTACGTTTTATTTTGAAACTGAATGAAATCCTTTTTAATATTAAATATAAGTAATCATATTTGTATGCTTAAAGGTTTAAAAACCAGTTATATTATAGCAGCATTAGTAGAGAAGTTTGCGACCACCATCATGTTGAATGAAATTTATAAGAGTTAAATACAGATGACATCAATGGTTGCATGGAATAATGAGGACACAAAATGTAAGTAACATATTGGAATTTAAAGAGACTAAGAAAGGAAACAAGAAAAACCTGAATCATATTGCATAAATTAGCCCCCATAAAATTAGTATCATCCAAATTAACATGGGAGCCTCCAAGGCATCCAATCAGAAAGATATTTCCTTGTTTATATGCCATTATTCAAAAAACTTCACGTGGGAATATCAAACCATAATAAAATAATATACCCTATAACCTCAATAATAAAATAATATACCCTATAACCTAACACAAAGCTTGACGGATATTGATCTCAAGTAAAGTTCTTTACAAAATTGTTTCTATCTATAAGACATGATGCAGATACTGATTTCATCTAATATTGTACATGAATTTTCAAAATGATTGTGTGTCAGAGATGGTATATCACAAATTAATATTTGGCCAGCTCGTGGGTAGAATGCTGTCATAGGGAAGTATTATGTACACAAGATTTTATGTAAAACAGCACACAGTAATGGTGGAGATTCAGAGATTTTTTTAAAAAACATCCAGACAAAAATTTTTTAAGTACTAATTGTTTATGAGGTGTTCAGCATTTTGATGATTTAAGAAGTGTAGATGCAGGTATTTGATCTTGTAATTCATGTGCCAAATGACAAATCATCAGTCCAAGAAAGGAAATAAGTTAATGTTACATCATTATATAGGGAGAGGATATACAATAGTGTAGTTTAAAAACAAGGATGATTTGAATGAGTGCTTGGAACAAGTTCTTACACAATAATCCATCAAATTGAAATTTTGTGAATGGCTGGTTTTGCTAACAACACAATAGGGCATGATATTTAGCTGTGGAGACCTGACAGCTCTTACAGCAGACATCACATTTTTGACTAGTCATCGCAACATTTTATATTATTTAGCCATCATCACTATACCATATGTAAGACAAAAATCACTAAAGCTACTGCGCTAGCATCTTCGTCTGCACACCAATGTAGACCAACTAACAATAGTTTAATACTCCATTGTGATGAAAAGACAATTTAAGTACATAATGTAACATAGATTACTACCTATTCAATTTTTACCTATGCACTGAGTACAGCCACTTGGCTCAACAGTCACATTCAAACAGATCCTAGTAAATGTATTTACAGAGAATATTTTAAACTATCTAACGTGACCAGTAAATATCCATTTAATTATGCTAACATTTAACACTGTGACAACTTAAACTTCACATCAAATACAATACATTTGTAAAAAATGAATTTAATGATATGATCACGTTCCACATTGGAGCCCTTTGACCAATGAAGATTACAAAAATGCAATCTCTTATTTTCTTATATATCTTAGAATTTGGCAATGCATTATTTGCCACCATCTTGTACATCATTTTCATTTCACTGCAGCCCAATTTAAGAAATTATCAAAATAAATAAAACTGGAAGATGCATCAACTAATTAGTGAAATTGAAAGAAGAGCAACACAGGTCAAATAAGTCTCCGATATCAGTGATATGGATTTAGCATGTTATAAACAGAGATAGTTTTATAACATGGACTTTAAAAAATTATTTCCAAATTAATTGCCATAAAAGAGTTTTATAGTCTCACACCAAAACATGCTAAGAAACTGAGATAAACAAAGTTTGAGATGTACTTTGAGTTTTGTCATAAAAAGCCAAGTTTAGTACTGGAAAGAATGGATATTTTCTTTACTGGATAAAGGTAACTGGGGTTGATGAAATAGTATCCTATCCAAATAGTCATAGTACTCAAAGCATGTTTTCATTATAACATAAACAGACAAAAATGTCAAGAAACGATGGAGTAGAGGAAAGCATCAGAAATAAATAAAATAAATTATTTTAACAGGGGGGCGGGCACCGAGGATGGGGGCACTATGTTGGGATACCTTACGCTAATGCAAAATGAATTTTTAAAAATAATTAATAAACCTTTAGTTGCAAGAAAAAGTTGAAATTTGGCCTTCTCAAGTCAGAATGCTTCATTATAAAACTAATTAACACCGGAAATTATATTAAAAAAATAAGGCACAGTTTTACAAAATACTTACAGCTTCTTTAATATATAATTTAAACTTTCATAATTATACCTTTTTTTTTTTTTGCATAAATGATATTCAAAGCAGATTAAAGATTTAAAAACTTAATTTAAAGCCAGTGGTATAAAGTGGAAAAATCATTTCTTTAGTTATAGAGGTTTTTTTTTTTTTTTTTGGTTATAGATAGTAATTTACAGAAATGATTATATTTGATTTTTATAAATAATAAATAATATTTTAGTATCAAAACATTTTTTTAAAAACTTAATTTAAAGCAAGTGGTATTAAGTGGAAAAATCATTTTTTTAGTTATAGAGGTTTTTTTGTTTTTTTTAGGTCATAGATAGTACTTTACAGAAATGATTATACTTGATATTTATAAATAATAAAGAGTATTTTAGTATCAAAACTGTTTTTATCATTGGACAACAAATCTCTCATGGTTTGATGCTAAAGACCCATATTATCCATATTATAATATCATGTTATACTCAAGTCAAAGAATTTTTTTTCCAGCAAAGCTTTTCAACAGACAGACTCTGAGAAAGCTAATAAAATTGTCTTCATTGATCCCTCTCTGCCTGAGGTATTAGGTCTTCAGCTTGGTTCAGCCGGACTTGAACATCAGTGGAATGCATCCTTTCATGCAGATTTCGAGAATTCTGAGGTTGATGAAGTCAAAGAATTGTTCAAAATTAAGCAGATTAGAAATGTTCTGAGCAACATTTTAGTAATACAAAAGTTCACTCTAGCCACAGACTAAAATTGATTGGTAACAATGAAACAAGCACACGAGCCTATTCTCCAGTTGACAGATGATGTGTCTTTTAAAAAAATACAAAAATCACTTAACTTACATTTTGTTCGCTATAAAGTTGTTGACTCTCGTGATGGCGGTTCAAACAATTGATGATAATCTGGTGGATTTACAGTTTGTCCACAGGGATTAAGAAGTAATTCTTGGCCAGACAATGTGATTGGGTTATTCTGAATACAAAATTGGTATTTATAAGAATTAACACATTTGACTTTGTTCTTTAGTCAAATTCTTGTTTTTTATTATTCAATCATAAAGTTAGCTGATTGTTGAATTCAATTTTCAATACCTACTTATGAGTTTTCAAATTCTTAAATTTCTTAATGTAAAATTTGCTAAACTTTAGTCAATGAGAGCTATTCTTTTTTTATAATGTTTTTAATTATATAATGTCAGCTATAACCCCACACCCCCAAAAAAATCATTTATTTAGAAGATCACTTTAACAAAGGGGATTAAGATTTAACCATTAACCAACTTATTTTGATATAAATATATTATCATTTTTGTGCTTTATCGTGCTCTGAAAACACACTAATCAGCCCTCTGTGGTCTGCAACCAAAGCCATTGCCTAGTAAGTGTAATTTGTTATTTCATCTAAGGTGGTTAACAGAATTGATGGGGTTTTGGCCTTACTTAAGATAAATTTTTTTTAATGATATTTTTACTCAATTTGTATTGTTTGTTTATTTATAACTTTGTTCTAAAGTCTCAAACAGACTAAGAGCATCTTAGCCCTCGCCTACATCATGACATTACTCCGCAATGAGGGGGGCAAAACTGAAAAAACTTCAGAAATTATGATTTAAACTCGTGCAGTGAACAAATGAAAGATTCCATAAGATCATAAGATAGCTAAAAAAAAATATGAGCATATCTGATTTTAATTTAATATTTTCATTAAAAATGTATTCAAACTATTCAACATGCACATTTGAAGGCCACATGATCAAGATGGAATATGTACCTTACCTTATGATAAAGAACAAGACCTGCAAGGGTCTCATGAACAGTCTGGTCGGCACCAAAGAATTGATAGCCCATGTCTGACGCATCAATAAGGAAATGTTTGAATCTGTTGCTTTCCCTCAAAGATAGTGTATAACCCCAGACACGTTCACTGACACGAATTAAAAATGAACCAGGTTTTTTGTTTTCCAACATTTCTTCTGCATCTGATCTATTAATAATACCTTAAAAATAAAAGAACTCCATTGTAAGATAGAGATAGACTAGGAAACAGCTTAAAATGATTACGAAGTATTTTTGTATACAAAAAAGGATGAATATTGATTTAATTATTAAAAAATACAAAGTTACAAATTTCTACTAAAGGCCTTCTCGGTTAAAATAATAAATTTTAAAAATACATAAGAATTAAACTACAATAATCATAGAAGAAACTGAAAGAAGACCACTGCACATACAAATAAAATATCAATAAACTTCATTATATTATTTGCACGTGCCAGCACCTTGCATACATTTTTCTTATGCTAGCCTCAAATTATTTTGATAATTCCATCATTTTTACCTAATTTTAAACACTATATGGTAAATCTTACCATGGAACCACTCAGCAACTTTTCCAGTCGATGGATCTAATCCTGAGCCCTTTGGTTTCTCATCTTTCTGGAACCAGCTTATTACTTGTTCTCGATTTTTGGGTCTTAGGGGTCTTGGTTTTTTGCTGGTGATGCCTGGTGCACTTGTGGCAATCAAATGTTTTCTATGGTTTTTCAAAAAAATGTAAAAATTACCCACAAAAATAAAACTTACAATAAAAAGATTTCATTTTGGAAAAGTTTATAAGATAAAGTTGTTGATAAATATTACTTGCTACAGGAGATTTTTTTCTTTTTAATGTTTGGTTATAAATTGAAATACTGAAATGATGGCACAGTGGTTTCAAAAGCAATTGAGCTTTCAAAATGCATTACCCACTTTTTTTTTAAACTTTCAATTTATTTGTCTAAAACACTTGAGTTTTGTTGAAAGTGATAAATTTTGAAAAATCAAAAGTGCAATTATATGAGCAAGTATATTTAAATGGACCATAATCTATGTACCAAGAAATATGTGCTAAAAACCTAGGTCCTAGGTACTAATCAATTTATTATATACTTTGGTGGTAGTGGAGGTTTGTTTCCAGCACTGGTTTGGGTGCTTGAGAAAGCCTGTGATGCCTGTACCAAGGTCATGGATCGACGCAATGATTCTCTGTACTCCTCTCTGGCTAGTCTTGCCTTTTCTCTTCTTTCTAGATCTGCCTCTTTGGATTTCTTTTCTTTACATCAAAATTATAAAAATTGAATTGCTTCATTTATGGTTGAAAAGAAAATGTATAAACATTTATACAGAAGATTAATAATTTATGTGTTGATTGCTGCTAACTCCGTTTAAACATAACAGATAATAAATGAAGCACTGCCTTCAAACTGTATGAAGAAAATAGTTCTACTATTTTCTTTAACACAACACACACAACTGAAGATTATCCTAATTTCCTAGTTTATAAATTTATTTTATAAGACATGACATATTTGTTTCATTCTGCCATATCACAAAATTAGTACTATTACTTTTTTTTTAAGTAACGGTGACAAAACTGATAGTATGAATCTCTAACCTTGTTCCTGCCAATTTGTTTCAACTTCTTTCTGGTTCTCCTCAGCCATTTTTTCCATTGTTTCTCGCTGCTTTCGAAGGGAAGTATAAATTTCACTACTTCTTTTTTCTCGTATACTTTCTGCCAATTCACGGGATTTTCTCTTGGCTTTCCTTTCATTGTCCTAAATTTTTTAAAGAACACATAAAAATTGGCAATTTTTTTTTCACTTCATTAAATTTTGTAAAAATGTAAATTGTGCAATAAAATGTGTTTTTCTATAGTTAATTTCTTTCATTTATTGAAAGAACATCGTAAGTGTATAAATTAGTAATATGTAAAAAAAAACATTATGTACATTGGCAAGAAACAATATTATAAATACTTAAATGTTTTTCTATTTGATATTTCAGTGTGTTTTATGAAGTGACTAATCTGTTGAAACAGAGACCAGACTCTTTATTAAGAGCTGGAACAGAAGTCAAGTTTTTTAAAACTATGTGATCCGGTACAGATAAGAGAAATAAATAATGTTCCAAGGTTAAAAGGCAGAAAAATATACCATGATACGAATGTACATTCCTTCCCTTGAAAGAAGATTTTTTAATAATATAATTTGGTGACCAGATCTATCTATCCACCACTACAACTAAAGAGCTAATTTTTGTTTTCTTTTTGCAAGAGCTGGGTGGACAATTTTTAACATTCATGCCAAAGCAACCAATATTTAATTGCAGGAGCCATGCTCGATGGTCTTAAAAAGAAATTTTGACTGTAGACTTAACCAGCATGAGCACACACACAATCCATCAAATTTAAGAAAAGAAACCAAGCGTTTGTTATTATAACCAAATAAAAAAGATTTTTGTTAAAAATCGTTTGAAATAATTTCCTTAAAAAAACAACAGTGCCAAACTATAGCATGCCATAAGCCACAGAAAGTTTCTTAAAAATAAAAGACATGAAAGATTTTTGTAAAGTTATTAATTAAATCTACATATCTATTCAAGCCTTGTTTGCCAACAGGAAACACAACTCCATAGAAAAATTAAAAATAGAAAGGGATAAATACAAAAAAATTGACCAACTTTACTAGTAAATGCAGGCAATTTTTAATGAATGCAAAACAGTTTGGGTCAAAGGTCATCACAATGAGGCCTGAAAACCAGAGAAATCTACTCATGCATACCAACCGAGAGGAAGGGGGAGTTTAAAACGGATGAATGGCAGACCTTGTCTTCTGCTACCTCTTGTTGAAATTTGGTTGACTGCTAGTGACAAGAAAACAAAGACCATTAGAAACTAGACAAGCCAATGTTACAGTGGCATTAGACACTTCACCTGAAATGGGCCATACTGAGACTGACAGGGGTATTAAGATCTTCTGTTACACCAGCCTTATCTTATCAGTCTGGAAATACCTCCATTTCTCTGCAATGCTTTATTTGTTTTACTATAGTGTAAAAAGTCTCAATCGCATTAAAGTGCAAATTTGTTTCTAAGATTTTCTTCAAGGAACCTTAATTATTTATAAGTCATGACTCTGGGTTGGTTTTAACATACCATTTAATTTTCTTTATTTTCTTTGCTGTTGTCACAGAGTTGAATTTTGTTTGTTCAATTGTTTCTTTTGTAGCTAGCAATTATTGTAAGTTCTCACAAACCAATATGAAAAATCTTAATGGTTTAAATCTTATGAATTAATTGATCTTCTGTTAGTCACTGGCAAAATTACTAATAATATTTTGTTGAATAGTGTAAACAAGCTACTAGAGACAGGAAAATGTATTAAATAGCCTTCAAATATGTCTTATCAAAATGTCTGGTTCAGCATAACGAAAGCAACACCTAAGTAACACCTTGCTGAATTTGTATACACCTTTTCATATTTTACAACAATTTTTCTCAGCTAAAAAAAAACAATAACTTAGATATATGTTAGGAAGAAACTTATTTTTTTCCTTACTGAAACTGCCAAGATTTTATTAACATCGTAAAACAAAACATGATGTGAATAAACATGATTTAAACTGATATTTTAACAAAGAAACTTATTTTGAGATATAATGCTTGACCTACCTCTAACTCTTCTAATCGCTTCCTTTCTTCTTCCTCCTGCCGTTTCTTCTCAAGAGCCAATTTCTCTGCAGCAAGCTTTGCTTCTTTGATGGACTGGTAGAGAGCTGCCTCTTCCTGTTTGCGCCTATTAAATGATTAATCCATTATCATACATAAGGTATTAGGTTTAGATGAGTATGGTAATTAGTAATAGAGGATAATTAAAAGAGGTAAATAAATGAAGGTAAGACCAATGACTTCTCTAGAATATGAGCAGATACATTTTCAAATGAGCCTCTTTTGGTGGAAGAAGACATTGTGTGTTTATTTTAAATACACATCAATGTCACTTTGTTTAAATAAAAGTTTATATACAGAAATTAGTAAGTCCTCTTAAAATATTGTTTGACAAAAAATTAATTTTAACAGCAAAAATGAATGTAATGAACACATAAACTTAAAGCCTTCTTTATTTTATAAGAGTGCACAAATGAGACTATAATCTATGTACCGAGAAGTATCTGCTAAAACCTAATAAAATTTAATAATTTTTTACATATATTTACACTTAAGTTTGTTTTATCCAAAAGACAAAATGTAACGAAATCCGTTAAGTGAGTCCTACAGTCCTACCTCATTTCTTGCTCTCTTTCCAAGTGTTCTTGCAACAAGCGTTGCCTTTCTTCCTCCATTTTTTTCTTCAAATCAGCTTCCTCTTTTTCTCTGCAGTGCACATAAAACAAACAAAAGACATTATCTTAAACAGGAGGTACAGCAGCAACGATTGTGAGTTAACTGATTAGTGTTTCCTTTTATTTAAAAAAAAAGCCAACTAGCTGTAAACTATAACTATTCCTAGTACAGGTATTCTAGATTCTGGGTTACGTTTCAGAAATTAAACATTTACTATGATGAATAAAGCAAAATGTATGGGGATCCAAATGGGAATAATTTACCCTAAAATCAAGACTTCAATCATTAACCATACCAAATATTTTTAGAGAAACCACAGGATTTGAGTTTATCAAAAGTGATTAAATCCACTCAATGGGACTAAATATAGCTTCATAACGTTGAGATATTTAACTATGAAAGGTTTTCAAATTTCATTGAAGATCATCCAATTTTTTATAATAACGACTTTCAATATTAACAACGAATTTAAATAAAGATTTGTAATTATTTAAAAATAAGCTACTAACCTGAGAGCTTGGGCTTCAGCATCCGCTAACTTGCCGGCCATTGTATGAGCTTCTTCCTCCAAAATCTGTTCAATTGATTTGTCATTCTTATGTTCCCCCATTACCCAGACCCAATCACAACCGTCTCTGCCTTTCATGAACTCAACCTTTTTCTTGGCTGTTAACAAGCATTGAGAGAAAAAGCATATATGGATGGGAGATAAGTTTAGATTATAAAAATGTATTGAAATCTTTATTTACCCACACCAGCAGTAAAGCTTTACTGATGACAAAATAATGTAATTGTCATTGCCGATAAAAGCCTCCTTTAGTATACAAAACATGCAGATCCTATATATTTTACTTAAACATATATTAAACAAAATCATATAGGCCAACTTTACAATAACAACAGGGCGATAGCCAGCCGATAATTTTTTTACAAGCCGTATTGGAAGAACATTACTAGTGAAGATTTTTTTTATTGTGGAATGTATTACTTATATCTGAATATGAGTTGTGGTTCTTAATTCTTAGACTTGTTGTTTCTCTTTAATTTGTGAAAAAAATTGTGAGTACAGAAAAATAACAAGCTTTAAAAAAAATTTTTTTTAATTCTCCAGACTGGAAAATATCTACAAGTTTTAATTGTTAATCGGTAAAATGAAGTATAAATTTCGATATACAGTATGTGCCAAAAATACAGTACTTAAACTTCCACACCTTGAAAGTGTTTGTCACACAGTGAATTTCTCCACCCAACATGTGTTTCCAATAGTGGAAAAGGAGTTGTGTTGGTCAGTTGTTGGTGGGAATGGGTCTCTTGATGGAGAAAAAAAGTATTCATAGTTCTGTTTTATTTTTCTTCATATGGAACCGATCACTTGGGAGGACAGAGCTCCAAATACCAGGAAATGAGAGGGCAGACAAACTAGCAAGACAGGGAGCATCCAATGAACAGCCAAACATGCCTACATCATTCAAAACAGCCAAACATACCTAGATCATTCAACACAGCCAAACATACCTACACCACTCAACACAGCCAAACATACCTACATCACTCAACACAGCCAAACATACCTACATCACTCAACACTGTGAAGCAATTTAACAAAAAAGTAGAGTGCTCAAATGGATGAGCAATAGGCTCTACAGGAAGATGTGTTTTCACACATATGCCCAACCCAGACCCTAAAGACCCAATAATTTGCCGATAAGGCATGAACAGGTCATAATCTTTCACCTGCTCACAGGACACATACAACTTAATTCCTGACTTAACAGCATGAAACCAGATAAAACATAAATATGCTCCTTTGCAGACATCCAAATGGAACAGAAACAGATTACCTTTTTTCAACTGCACACACTCCAGGACTTACACTTTAACAATCTACCAAAAACACCAGACTACACTAGCAGCCTATTTACAAATAAACAACAGCTACAGAGAGATTGTACAATCTTCATAATGGCTCACGCCAAAGGACACATGCCCAAATAGCTTCTGGGTCTAAATGATGATGACAGTGCAGTATTCTTTGCTCAGGGATATGTTTGAGAATCTGCATGTACAGTATGAACACTGTTTATAGTGAGGTGGTGCACGCTTCACTCACACTTTGGTAAATCAACAGGCTAGCTAATATGTTTGTATGTTTGTTTATTTTAGTATTAATAAAATTACAAGGTATTGTTTGTCTTTTCATTGCAGCACTTTTGGCACAGACTGCATATCACACTTAAACTTAAAAACATTTTGACACATACTGTACATCACACTTAAATTTAAAAAAATAAATGTGGATGAAATAAAAGTACACGTTATCACATTTTTTAAAAAGGGGCTTTGGTTAATTTCAATGATATTTTCAAAGGGAATTACAGTTTTGTTTGTTAACTAAATCCCATACTTTACTAAACAGTCATAATAATACTATTTATTAATTGTGGGGTGTGTTAATTAGATTATTAATAATATTAGCTTATAAATAAACAGGGGGGGGGGGGGAGAGTTGTGTAATGAAAACATCAAAGATACAACAGGTGTGAAAGGGGATGGTGCACATATATTGATGTCCCTTTAAATAAATGTTAACAGAAAAAACATGTTCAGTCATTGGTGGTTCTGTGTCTGATTTTTTATTTTAGGTAAAATTTTAATGTTTTAAATACTTTGATTAAATGTTTTTTTTGTTTTTTTTAAAGAATACTAAATTGTCCGAGGATACACAAAAATATGTAAAAATGAATTAAAGGCTTCTTCTCCCCAGTAAAATGTTTTTAAAAGGTGACGTTGTTAAGTTAAAACATTTGACATTGGTAAACACTCTATGGTTGTGGTATGACAAACTAACTGTATTTCTTTTTTGCCAAAACCATGTTTTGTTTTCTTTTAAGAAATTAAGTAAGGATGTCAATTTAACCTACCGGTGTTTCGTGATTTCTGAGCTCTCTCTTCTTCAGCTTTTTCTTCAAATACTTTCCATCTTCGAATTTGCTCCTGTCATCAAGAAAAGACAAGGTCAATATGAATTTTTTTTTAAATACTGGGCAATCTAAAAAAAAAATTTTCCAATTCAGAAAAGATTTAAGGTTTAACTATTTAAAAAAAAATATTTCAGCCGAAAGGGGTGACCTGGCTATATTTTATTATTTTCTCCAGACAAATGAAGACAAAGGAATTAACAGAAGTAAAAATATAGATGTGTTCAACATTAGCTGTGTGTAAAATTTGCACACAAGTTTTTTTCTTGATTTTGCAACTGCCATGCTTACCGAGTATCAAAGTGCCTACATTGAATAATGAAAATTTTTGTAGATAGCAGAGGTCCTATTTTTGGAAATGTTCAGTATAATTACTGTATACACCTGAAGACATGTGAATGACCATCTGTATTATAAATAACATTATTTTATAGGGTCTTCTTATTAGCAAATTTACACATTATTCAGGTTTTTTAATCACCCAAAACCAAAGATTTCGGCTTATGAACGAACAGGCTTATTAACGAGTATACACAGTATCTGTGTTTAACTAAATACTGCAAGTTTATTAGTTTTAAGACTTTTTATTTACAAAATAATTATTTTCAAAGTTTGGATTTTTTAAAATAAATTATTTTTCTTTTTCAAAAGCTGTTTTGCTTATACTGGTCTATTATTATATGGGGTTAGCTTATGAGTGGGTCACACACTTTTCGGCTTTTCCCAGCGAGAACTTAGGAATCTATTTATGAACAAACGGGCTCTACCCAATTAAGAAGATTAACATTGTACCTGTCGCATCTTGTAAAAAAGCATTTGTTTCTGATCTTCAGACAACTCTGCCATCAACTCTGGGTCTATATACATCTGGTCTAGTATTTGCTGCAACATTTTTATTGGTTTCTTCTCACGCACTTATAGAGCTTTTTGTTTGATGCTCAAGTAAGTTCTGAAAGAGCCTTTAAAATGGCTTTATGTACATTATAAACACCGCAACACCTTCTTCACAATTAATTTCAGTTCACAGTCATAGGTTTACCCCACATGCTGCAAAGAAAAAAAATATTTTTTTTAACTATGAAAATAATATAGAATACAGAATACAGTAGTAAATCTTTGTGCTTAGAATGAGAAACAGTATCAAGGTCATATTAACATAATTAATATTATGACACGGCTACTTGCTGCCAATTAGGCAAAGGCTGGTCTCAGTACTTGTAAGTTATAGAAAAACAGCTACGTATTTAGTGTTTACAAAATTTATTTTGATATTTGTAACAGCCGGTTAAGCAGAATAGTTCAAAGTTAACAAACTTTTGCATGTAGTATCACACAGCTGTACTACAGTCAAAAACCTTGAGCCCTGATATAAATGCAGACCTGTTTACCCTCAAACCATTAAAATCGTACAATATCATCACAAAATCGTTCAATACCTTATATTTATAGTAAAAAATAAACATACAGTATATATAATTATTATAATGTTTACACCTCAAAATCGTACTTTGTACGCCAAAATCATAAGAGTAAACAGGTCTGTAAATAGGGCCTATCAACGATTTTTCTCATGAAAATGAAAGAAATTCAATTTATCATTTTTTACAAGACATGATTATGATTGGTCTGTTTTAAGACCTAAGATACTTAAATATTAAAAAAAAAAGTTTTAAGTTTAAAACTCAGTCAAACGAACTCTCAAAAATGGTACAATGAAAAGGATAAAACTGTGTAAATCTTGACTGACATGATGGCTGGTGAAGAGGATGGGGAACAGCTCTTTAAGCATAATACATGATGGATAGAGCTAAATTAGAGACCAACCGTAAGTGATTTTCTGATTTCGGCCGAAGCCGAAAATAGGCCGAAAGTTTAAAATGACTTTCGGCCGAAACCGAAAAAATACCGAAAAATAAAAATGAATTTTGGCCGAAACCGAAGCCGAAACATTAAGATATTTTGAAATTCGTTCCCGCATACATCGAAAATGATGTGGGAAAGTATAAATATTTACATTCTTTTTATAAAAAATTAGATAATCATGAATATTAATAAATAAACATCTCATATAGGGGTCTCAAACTCGTGGCCTGCGAGCCATTTGTGACCCGCAAGACGGTATTATTTTGCGGCCCGCTACATGACAGAAAAGTTTAGTGTAAATGCGCCGGCACGTTTCCCCCATTCTCATATCTATAACGTGACTCTCCGAGATGGTTTCAGTCGAATCTCACAGACTAGTCTAATTCTGATTTTTTTTTTTTAATGTTTCTATATATTTTTGTATGCCAGGTCACTGGCAACAGTGAGTTGTTCTTGAGAACCCTTAATGATTTTATTGGTATTTATAAAGGTTGAGCATATTGTAACAGTTGTAATCGCTTTTTTGTGGATTACTTGATGCGGCCCACTCTCATTCACACTACCTCCAGTGCCCCCCCTTCCCCCTATGATTTGAGTTTGAGTCCCTTGATCTAAGAATACTTAGGATTTTACCATTTTAATATAAAAGTAATTTAAATTGCTTTACAATTTTTTTTAAAATTAGTATGGTAGGTGTAAAATATTTTTTTTAACAGGGTCTCTAAAAAATGTGGTTCTAAAAGATTTGTTTTTAAAGATCGTTTAGTTGGTTGTTATTGATCGGTTAGTTTGTTGTTAAATATCGTTGAGTTTGTTGTTAAAGATCGTTTAGTTTGTTGTTAAAGATCGTTTAGTTTGTTGTTAACGATCATTTAGTTTGTTGTTAAAGATCGTTTAGTTTGTTGTTAAAGATCGTTTAGTTTGTTGTTAAAGATCGTTTAGTTTGTTGTTAAAGATCGCTTAGTTTTTTCATAAAGATTGCTTAGTTTGTTGTTAAAGATCGCTTGGTTTGTTGTTGAAGATCTTTTAGTTTGTTCATAAAGATCACTTAGTTTGTTGTTAAAGATTGCTTAGTTTGTTGTAAAGATCGCTTAGTTTATTCTTATAAATCATTTAGTTTACTATTAAAGATCATTTGTTTTGTTCTTAAAGATCATTTAGTTCGGTCTTAAAAATCTTTTAGTTTGTTCTATTAGAGCGTTTAGTTTGTTCTTAAATGTCTCTTAGTTTGTTGTTAAATATCGTTTAGTTTGTTCTCAAAGATCGCTTAATTTGTTCTTAAATGTGCCTTAGTTTGTTGTTAAATATCGCTTTCACTGAGTATTAAAATGACCGAAAGCCTGAGTCACTTTCGGCCATCCGGCCGAAAGTCTAAGTCAATTTTGGCCGAAACCAAAGAAAAACCGAAAGTTAACTTTTCTCTTTCGGCCGAAACCGAAATTAAGCTGAAAGTTAACTTTTCAGTTTCGGCCAAAACCGAAACTTGGCCGAAAGTGATAAAATGGCCACTTTCGGCGCCGAAACCGAAGCCGGAATTTGGTCGGTCTCTAAGCTAAATGCTTCCTTCCTCAAATTGGCCAGAGCCTTGGGCGCCTTGGCATAATTTAGTATGAACACAACTATTTTATTGTATCCTTCAGATGTACAGTCACTCTCTTCCCTTGCATTGCCTCAGTTGCTGGTTTTAACATACTAGCACACCTCAAAGTTATAGATATTTAAAAAATATATTTTAGAACAAGTGTAATCTGATGACAATGACATGTTAGCCATGTTGTTGGCGTAATGATAATGTTGGAAATAGGAAGTGTAAAATTTATTGTGCATACAGTGGCGTAACAAAGGCTTGGCATTGGGGCAGATGCCAAGGGCGCCGGCCTGCACCAGTTCAAAAGGGCGCCGCAAAGCTGAAACTTGTCAATTTATCAAGGGCGCCAAAAATAAATGTGCCAAATGCGTCAGAAACCCAGTTACGCTTCTGTGTGCGTATGTATAAAAAATTGACACCTGGACCCTGGAACATGTATTTCACACAGGATTCAACTACTCCTACCCAGTCACTTTGAAATTGGCAACAGGTCTGCACCAAAAACTTTTATATTTAGGCCTGTAAATAAACTACCAAACGAACTATTACCATGAGTACTGGTATGCCCCTTTGACTTAGACTAATATTCTTACAGTAAATAAGTTGAACTGCACATTTTGAAGTCCATCAAGTCAAATAAGTGTTTAAGTGTTGATATTACAATATAACTATTAATATGACTAAGTCAAACATGAGAAAGATCTTAGATATAAATATGATTTAACCCCTAGTCCAGCACTACTACTTATTACTATTTTACTATTAAACTACTACTGCAGTTGGCTGAGTTGGGCCTGTGCCTACTACAGCCTACACCTAATTTAAAATCAAACTGTAGTACTAGTTTGTGGCCAATACTATGACCTATGATTATGATTAGTATGAAAATAATGTAAGAAAATGAAGATGAAAAATAATAAAATATGAAAAAATTATTCTAGTTGAACTAGTAACTAATGTTTAATAGGCCTACTATATTATTTAAATGAATAGGCCCCTACTAAGCCTTAGGCCTTGCCTTAAGCAATAACAACAAAAATAATTAATTATGACATTCACAAGATGCGCAGTATAAACTTAGTTAGAAACAATCTTATCCCATCAATTAGGAAGTGTAAAAGTGAATAATACACAGCCATGTGTATTATTAAAGTTTCAAAACATTTGACTTGATTTAATAATAAAAGACTAACTTTACAAAACAAAGTTAAATAACTCTACTAAACTATGGATTTAATCATTTAATAAAAGATTAGACCTGATAAATGATTTTGTATTATTATTAAAACAAGTTATAGTTTTAACAAAAAATGTTGATAATTGCTTAGGCTTACATATATTTCACGAATTATATACAAAACCCTCGCGTCTCTCTCCGGTAACCACTACACTAAATAGGGGTGGGGGGAATAATGGGAGGTGAACATATGGTAATGTTTTGGATGTGGCTCCACATTTATTTCCGCATTAAGAGCTCAAGTAAATAGGCGTACTAACGTTTCAATCATGAGAAAACAGTGATTTAGCCAAGACCTACTTTAGGCTATGGGGCCATTTATAATGGCATCACTCGATTTTTTTACCCCCACACCCCCAAAAAATAATTTTTAAAAAAAATGAATTAACATCACGGCTAAATCTGAGGACGGCTGCTACGGCGTATTTTGTGGGTTCATTATGGTTGCAGTGAATTAGGGTTTAGGTTAGGTTGAGGGATCGATTTAGGGTTCAGGTTAGGCATAGGGATCGATTTAGGGTCCAGGTTAGGCATAGGGATCGATTTAAGGATACATTCGTGAAATTCGATAAAATAGTGGCAGTCGTCCCCGTAATTTACCAAAATCACAATCACAAATAAACAAAAATAATCATTTGTAAAACAAATTAGACACTTTAATCACACATCATCACAAATTTGTGGCCCCCACCCCAATTTTTTTCCACCCGCACAACGTGGTATTGTGAGGCGAGATTAATAAACAAACTAATTTAAAACCATGTCAAGTTCATTCTGTATATTTTACAAGCTTTTATTTAACTTGACTATGATGTCTGTCTGCGTTATACAATTGAAATCTGTCATAGGCCTACTAAGCTTAACCAACTGGTCAACATCTCAGAGAGCTGTATGATTTGTGTGGTATGAATGTTATTCTTCTTTGCCCTTTAAACTCCCAGCGGAGCATATACCATTAACAATGTCTTTCCAAGCCTTCTACTTCTAGTCTCTAGATATCCCCTCTAACTCCTTCCAGCCTCGTTACATCTTTGTTGACATCTCTTCTTCGGGTGTTTTGGGGTCTTCCTCGTCCTCTTGATCCTTGAAGGTTCTATACCGGTGCTTATCGTGTTATGATCTGTCCATTTCCACCTTCTTTTCCGGATTTCTTGCTCCACTGGAATTTGTGTTCTCATTTCCCTCATTGATGTCTTTGGGATTTTGGGGAACAATTTGATGATGAAGATTTTACATAGGCAAATATTTTGAACTATTCATGAAGGTTAAAAGTCTTTTCCAATATTTTTTGGTTGATCTTCACATTTCTGAGCCAAATAGTAGCACATATGTAAAATTTGGGTTAAAATTATGTTTTGTCTTTCACGTTATTTGCCTAGATTTTCATAGATTTTAATAAGTAAAGTAAAAGCTTCTCTTGCCTTCTGTATTCTTGCCTTGATATCCGATTTCGATCCGCCATCCTAACTAACTATAGGCCTATTTCCCAGATAGATAAGATGATATATTTCTCCTAGTGCTTTCCTTCTTGTGCTACAACTCCTCGTTTATTTGAATTTATTATTATAACGTATATTTTGTTTTTATTTCTTGTACCTCCAACATGCCAGGACATTGAATCAAGCTTTGAGTTTTTGTCTTGTATTTATTTATGGCTTTGGGATAATAGAGCGATGTCCTCTGCAAAAAAGGGTCCATTGTATTCCATTTCTCCCTCTTTATGTTGTCCTTCTCATTATCCAATCTATGACAATACGAAAGAGAAATGGTGAATGTCATATAATATTAATAAGAATCAACCAGAAGCATAAATGATGTCAATTTTAACAAAATGTATATAGTAGATAGCCCTGTTACATTCCTCGAAAGACTCTTCTAGTTTTCTCTTGAAAAACAATGCAGAACATATTGTGATATGTCTTTTTAATTATATCTGTTATTTCTCTTTAAATACAATTTGTGACGAAATGGTTTCCCCAAAGTTTCTCTTTCAACAATACCTAAGGATTTTTCAAAATCGTCGCGTAGCCCTTGCAAACCCTGCGGCTGCAGGGAGCCTCAAATGTTTAAGGGGCCCAAAGTTGTGATTTTGAAAAATATGAAACTATCAATTTTGAATGCAATGGGCACAAAACCGAAGAGTGGCTGGAGGCCTGGTTCGTTTCGTAGTTGGCGATAAACTGCTTTTTAATATATTTTTATATTTGCCAGTATTACCCTGTTTAATACGTTTACAGTTGCTGATAACAAAATGATACCCCCGTAATTCAAACTATTTGTTAGATTTAGATCAAATTTCTCTGGAAGCTCCCAAGTTATCCCTATCTCCACGCTTTAGTTTTTTTTCTCCAATTTTTCACATTTAATTAAAATAATGTTGTAGTGTATGCTGGTTGATATATCAACGTCTGTTTTCATCGCCTCAGTAGGTATTCTATTCGGTCTTGGAGCTTTTCCATTTTTAAGCATTTTTATTGCATATTTTATTTCGCCTTTAGTAGATCCGGTGCCGTCAATGGCAAGATCTATCTGAGTTGAATGAATATCTGCTGTTGTGTCAGGGGGAGATGATCTGTTTAAAAGCTCTTTGAAATACTTCACTCATCATTTTTTAGCGCTTTACCATTTTTTTGGGGTCATTTATGACAACTGCAGAGTTTGTTTAAATGGAGCGTGGCAAAAATCTTGGCCCACCCAGGTTGGAACTAACACTAACTACTCCACTAGGCAGTGTATCTATCAGCAACAAAATTGATGGCCATGGCCAGCTATACTGTCATTTTGTTTCGGGAAGTAGGGCAGAAATCGAGGGCACCCATGGCTCTTGAGCAAAGTGGGCGTCTGAGGAGCTCCTCTTCAGGAAATGTTTGGTTATTATTTCAAAATCAAGAGGTGCATTTTGGAGTATAGAGGAATTCAGTGTTTCTGTTGGAAGGAGTTCTTCAAGCATTCGGGGGAGGCATTATAGTGCGCACCATTTCTTTCAGATAGGCCTATATCTCCGAGGGGGCACTGCCCCCCCCACCCGGGAAAGCCAAGTGCACCCCACGGAGCAAAAATATGTCCAACAATAAATCAACTGGCACTGCCGGCACTGCCCCCCCCCCCCCCAAAAAAAAAAAATCTGCCCCCGGGGGGGTGGGGGATTTCTGAAATAATCACTGGTGCGCACTGTCATAATTTTATATAAATTGAGCTATTCAATAACCAGCAATCACGCACCCACTCTTGCCACTCTGTTACATATGCAACAGAACTGTTATTGTTAAATGTTCATACTCATTATTATATAACTTTAATAGTAACAGATTTCTTGTTGAAGCAATTTCCCCTTACTCCCATAATTTTGTTGTATGGTTTTTTACTCTTTAAAGTCATTATAAAATACAAATGTACCAAAGACTTTGTTTTTAAAAAAGAATTAATTAAACACAAAAATACACACATTATGAGGAAAAAATAAGACCTAATGACGAGTCATTTCTAGTTCTAGTGAAATAGCATTGTCAAGGTATACCAATTATTTATGGAATTTTTTATTAATTTTATTTAAATTATTGCTATCGCCTATCAAGCTACACTAGCATCACTTTTGGGAAGGATACCTTGAATGTCATCACAAGATACCATTTTCTAAAACTTTATATTATATAAGAAAAACTTAATCATTGGTGGGGATGACAAAGAGAAGAAGTTGCTAGAGAAAAAAAAATAAAAGGGGTGGGATGTTAATAAACTAGGTGCCAGTGTCAAGGAAATATAAAAGAATTGGACAGTGGCACTCTTCTGCTTCAGAATGGTAAAATACCCGTATTTTGTTATGACGTTGCGCAAGACCGGAAGTTACCAGATCGTGGCGTAGTCCAAGCGCACCTGTAATAATTTTGTTAACGACAACTTAAAATTTAGAATATTTGAATTTTATTATAACATTTCTTCTAATGTACCTCGCCATTCCATTTACAGGTATAGTTACAATATCCATTGATTTAGTTGCAGTTCACATAATTGATTAAAAATATATTTTAATCAGTAAGTGTGTTGGTCCTTATCTTGTTTTTCTTCATTTTTTAAAACTAAAAGTTAAGGCTAGAAACTACAAGAAGAAGGCTTAGCCAGGACTATAACTAGGTAGTCTTAGACCTAAGTTATTATTAGTAGCCCCACTATTTCAAGTGAGTTGGTCACCTATAAGATTTAAAACATAAGACAGGAACTAGCATTTGACATCATTTGTTGGAGTAACAACTATAGACTATAGCCATCATGATAGCAATTTTCATTTTATCATCTCTCATTAATTTATAATTAAATTTTACGAAGTGTCTACGCCGGACAAATAGTGCGCAAGATATACGTCCGGCGGCATGTCACGTGACCGCCGGACAGCTAGTAGTTTTTATAATACAGAACGAAGTATGGTTTGGGCTTGGGTAGATCTTGTGTTGTAGAGTGGTCGCTTGATGATATTCAATATTATGGTTTGAGGATCAATACCGGGGATAGGATCGTTTTTTTTTCTTCCCATTTTAATTAAAAATATTTTATATATATTTATATTATCATGTTCCTCAGCAACAGTAGTTTCATGTGAAGTTTAAAAATATTTTGTAGCAATTTAAACAATTTAAAATGAAATCTTTTACTTTTATTGGTTGCCTACTCCACACTGGCCCCTAATTTATTTTATGGATTACTGGTACACAAACTCAAATAACAAACTAAACAAAAATGTTTACAAGCCACTTTCACCTAAGTTTTTTTTCTCTTATTTGCATTCAAGATACTCAGTACATTACTTGGTAGAGAGATTTTAGAAGTAATAATAGTTTTTAATCATTCGCAGTCAACGTGACAAGGCTGACCGACAAGATATCTCTCGCCACTTTGTTACGGCGGTCATGTGACTTGGTCGCCGGACAAATAGTGCGGGAGATATACGTCCGGCGCGATGTAGACACTGCCTAAATTTTAAATCATTTATTTTTATAATTTATCATTTAACATTACTTTTTATGATGATGATGGGATAAGTTCAGAACAAATTATAGTATTAAAACTAAAATCCGATTGATGGGTCCGAAATAATAGTATTCAAATTCATAGAATTATTTACCATTCTTTCTTTTTGGCACGATGTTTGATAATCTATCAAGGCCAAGTCAGCTATTAAAGCACATGTTTTTCGGGTCTGAAATGCAATTTTGCCGGTTAGGTACTTTGATAAAGCATTAAAATTCTTGTCAAAATAAACCAATGGGATAGTTGAATAGAGCTACTTTTTTTTTACAGAGTTATAAAAGTCACACAAATCATATTTTTAGCTGTTGTAGTTTTAAAGTTATGAATTTGTAAAGTACGACTTCATTTGTTATTTTTTAACATGGACCTCATCTCCACATTCTGTTAACTTATTCTGCTGTTCGCGTCACAAGCTATGTAACCTCTTGTTTTAATGATAATTTTATATGACTTTTATTTTCAGAACTAAGACTGTATTAAAAAATAATGTTATACAATTATAGATAAATTAATTGAATTGTAGCTTATCTAACTATGCAGACATGCCAACCCTTCCGATTTTGTCGGAATTATACAGATTTTGTACCCCTCATTCTGACCTTTCGACAAACCCTGTAAAGTTCCGATTTTTCGAACTTAATAATTTTTCACCCTTCATAAAGATCCGGAAAGCAATAAAAAAAAAAAACACAACAAAAAATTAGATACGACAGGAAGTGTTGCATTTGTTTTTACGAAGTGTCTACATGTCAAACGTCCGGATGAATAAGCTAATAAATTATCGAGATATTCGTCAGGCTAGTGTTTATTCGACCAAGTCACATGACCACCGTAACAGAGTTGCACAATATATTTGTCCGTCAGCCTTGTCATGTGACCGCTAATTGTCTATCAGAGTTTACGGTACTTCAGTTCAACAAATTCAAGATAGTCTGGGCATTTACACGAAAACAAATATGTTCAATTATAAAAAAAAAATATTAACTCATTCCCACCTGCAATGCTACTTCCGTATTTAATTAATTTGCCTGAGAAAGGAAAGTAACCCCGTTTTGAAATTGTTTACATTTTTTTAATATTATATAAGCTACTAAATATTATTTAAATGTTAATGAATTAAGAACAAATGCAACAAAAAATGAATAAGGTTTAATATAAATATAACATTAGCGGGGAAAAAATAACGAACAATGACCAAAAAATCGATTTTCGGCACCTCAGACAAACACATGCTACATATAGACGCGCCGTATTAAGGCACACGCAGTTTTAAAGTGAAACAAGATAAAAACTTCTGGTTTTTTAATTAAAATCACGCTGAACCACGCCATCACCAGAAGTCTCGAGGGATGCAAGATTTCATTGCTATTTTTAAATAGATATGAGGGAGGTGTGTCGCTATGCGCCGGGACGCATTTGGACGCATCCGGCGAAACCCGTAAAAGACGCATTTAGTCGCAAATGCCGGGAATGAGTTAAAAGCATCTATTTGTCCTGACGACCGATGTGTAGACACTGCCTTGTTTTTATCGAAGCGAACCGCAATCTTCAAATCATTCTTCAATCATCAATTGATCAGATCGCGATTCATCCTTTTTACAACGCTAAAAAATAATTCCGACTTTTTTTTTTTGTTAAAGCTTTTCTTAATTAAATGGTTAAATCTATTGAAAGTGGTGGGTACAATGATATTAATAAACATTGAAGGAAATATTTCTCTAGCCCTAGTCCTAGCCAACTCCGATCGTTTTAATTTTAATGCCAGAGTCAAAGAAATGTTTCCAGACTTACAGATTGCTAGAGGATTGTAAAGAAAAGTTACAATGAAACAAGGGCAAGCATGAAAGTTCATACTTTTTCTAACTTGCTTGTAACTAAAATCAACTGCAATTCTAACCTTCAGTTGTCCAAAGTCCAAAAAGCTGTTGGACAAGTGCAAAAAGGCCACTATCACTAGGGATATGCTGGAATACTGCATTCTTACTAAGAGTCTTAGCAGCCTGTGTGTGTGTACATATGTAAATAAAATGGATCTTCTGTTCTGTACTGTAACTGTATATATCTGTATATAAACATTTCCAGTAATGTTTACCTCATGTTCTGTGGTGTTTTATGGATCCTCAAATACAATGGCGGTAACTTTATATTTCTTTATTTACTAAAAAAAGGCTTGTGCATTAGTATATAGATATTAAACCAACCCCTCCCCCACGGGGGCGCCTCCCCTGGGGGGAGCAACGGGGCGCCTCCCCTGGGTGGGGGGACGGGGCGCCTCCCCTGGGGGGGGGTGGCCCCACTTCCCCTGCGTGCAACCCCCCTACAGATTTTTTTTCTTGGCAGGTCTGACTATGTATATCAGTAAATTTAATATAATGTATTAATATATGGCTTTTCTGTTTACCAAATCTAAGGCGTCCATTATACCAGTATATGCTATATAATCTGTTATCTATATAAGGCAATTCATCCCCTTCTAAAAAACTGTTTGATGTTAGGAGACTACTTATTTTGAGCTTTCAAATTTGGCGCATGGCTAATTAATTAAAGCTTTCCCTAACCAATGGTTTAATAGTTTTTGCACACGGCAAACTTTTATGAATGAAACTCTGAGATAGAACTACGGTATAGCCATTATGCAAGTGACTGAATAGCTCCCCATGGCCATGACATTTTGCACACTGCAAATTATGATCATTTGTAATATGGACTCTTGACAGGTTTTTGAACCTCAAATTAAAATATTATTTTTTAAAATTATATCCAAGTTCGTTCTAAAAATCAATTTATCAAATATAATGATGTAAATAGTGGTAATAATTAAATATTTTCTAAGTATTGGCATCTCCCCCCCATAAAAAGGGGGCGTGGTCTAAGTGGGGCGGGGTGACCTTATGTAAATGCTAGTCACTGAGATGAGCATAACTAATGGCCGAAATGTCCTAGCTCAATGAGCATTGGCACGTATACATCAATAAATTTTACAAAGATAAAGTTAATATGAAAGGCATAAAATTTGAACTTTATGTGAAATTTTGTAGGGAAAGATGCCTTATATTTGAATTTCTAATATTGGAGTGAATGGAAATGTAGGTCAAGAAATCCACTACTGTTCATGTATGGATGAATACCACAATTCTATGACAAAATAGTCTTTTCATCAATGAAAAAGCACTGACCTCCAAAAATTAAAAACTCTGATTCTTCTGCGCCGATTCCCATTTTATTTCTTATACAAATTTTGAAGTAGTCTCCCTTGCCTTACTAAATTGCCTATACCAGTTATTCTTTAATTGATAATGATTGTATAAGTTAAAGATTCTTTTATTAATCCAAATATGGAAATATTTTTTTATAACATTTTGTAATTGTGCATATTCATTTCACAGCACATCAATAAATATTCTTCCAATACAAAATGTTTAAGCTAGAGCACTTTAACGTATGAAAAGAATATAATTTATAAGCAAACACAAAAAGCCATGGATTGATTTGAATGGAAGGATGTCATGGAACAGGCCAGGGCCCTGTATGGGCTGTAAGGCCACTGATGATGATTATGCACTTGGAATTCAGCTATATTGAATGAGCAGAAGTTACCAATACTAGGATAAATTTGTTTTTACATTCTTAGTTATAAATTTGTATTAGTTTATACTTAGTAAAAAGTACCATCCTACTTCATTAAGTTTAGTGAGGTGAAAATAAAAATATATTTTAAAAGATCTCATATTTCAGATCAATAACTGGATGTTATGCCGGAATCATCTGGCAACATCGTGGAGATACACAACTCCCTAAAGGCCTCTCTGGGTCGAGGCCATTCTGATCTTGACCAAGATGTTGTGGCTGCATCAAAAAGGGTCCTGCTTGAAAATATTGTATTTCAGCCTGCTTCAGCTCCATACACAATGCAGCGTGATGCTTTAAAAGCAAAATATATTTCTTTGAATCCTGTACCAGTGAAATGGGAGGGAGAAAAAGCACAGCAGCAAAAGGAGCAAACCAGTAAGTGTATTTATACTTATGTCATGACCCAATCAGGCAGTCACCAACACCGAGTAGAGAAAAAAACCACATACAATTTTTTTCTTTATGTTAATAAATGATACAAAAATGTATATTAAAAAACTGGCTCTTAAGAAGAAATAAAAATAATTCAGATTTGACATAAAACATTTTTTGAATAGATGTGATAAATCAATTTAAAAACTAATAGAATAAGAATTTCTTCGGAGTTGTATTTTCATATTTATATTTGTTACAGTCTTTGTGCCTCATTTAGAATAAAAATCTTCAACTGTCCAAAACCAACTTTTAAAATTTTTTTAACTTCCTTTTTTTTCTCCCTTGAATTTATAATCCAAAATCAATTTTTTTTTATTTCTTAACAGTTAAAGCAATGAGCAGTCAATCCAGTATAGACAAAAATGGGAATGATGATGGTCTCCCAACACCAAAAATTATTCTTTTTCCTGAGGAGAAGGTTAAAATGGAATGGACAAGAATGACACGGATTGGTGCTGGTCTAGTGAACATGGGCAATACATGTTTCTTTAACTCTACCCTCCAATGTCTTACATATACTGCTCCACTCGTCAATTACTGTTTATCTAATGACCACAGAGAAAAATGTATGTTGTACAGAATACTATTATTTAATTAAGGTTATAAATATAAATGGAATATAAATATCTACTCATGTTGTGGCAATGTTTATATAAAATATCTTCCTCAAAAGATATTGTTGATTCTGCCTGAAAATAATATTCTGTTTTCAACCTTAAAAGTGGAAAAGAGACTTAAACTTAAATGTGTGGAATTTCGGCTATATACACCCTGTAATAACCAACAAAAAAAAGTTAAGTCTTATAAAAGCAGGGGGAAAAAAAAGAAATCTTGAACAGTATTAAAATCTTTATAGCATCTTTTGAAAATAAGTTTTAGCCAGAAGTAACTACGTAGTGGAAAAAATATCTTTGATATCCAACAGACCTGTTTACCCTCAAACCCTTAAAATCGTACAATATCATCATATAATCGTTCAATACATTCTCTTTATAGAGCAAAAACGTGCTGTATATATAATGTATACACCTCAAAATCGTACATTGTACGCCAAAATCGTAAGAGTAAACAGGTCTGATCCAATGTATTTTTAAACGATAATTTAAATTCACAGGACTTGTCGATATCTTCTTACTCAATGTTTTCATCAAATATAGCTCACTAAGAACGATGATTTTTGTAGCTGCCTATAATATTACATAACACTAATGACTAATGTTCAGTATGGTTTATATGTGGTATAATATCAACAAAAAATAAAATGCCTAAGTATAACGTCAGTCTAATAATAGTGGACAACATTTAATATTTCCTTTTGGGATATTCTGCAGGTAAAAAGAAAGAGTTTTGTATGATGTGTGAAATACAAAGTCACATCAAAAGTTCCTTGGATTGCGGTGGGAGATCAATAAAACCACACTCTATGCTTCAAAAGTTAAGATGTGAGTATTTACTTCAGAATGTTTGAAAATCTCTATAAGTTTGGTTTTAATTGAAGAAAATAAGCCCATAAAACTGTAAAATGACTGGGGGGAAAATATTGCTGTATTTTCTATAAAATATTTTAGTGGGGCAATGTTTGCAATCAAAAAAAGCGTATGACATAATTATAAATAATATGATCCTTTGATTTTTGCTATCATAGCTCAAAATTTATTTTTTGTTATTTAAGAGTGTTTAAAACAATTACAAAATTACTAGAAAATCATTTGTTTCTTCTCACCATACCTTATATTTCTGTGCAACTTACAACTCTTTTGTCGAATAATAATCACTATTTTTATTTAAGTGTTCATTTTATCCATTTAAGTCCAATTTTGTGATATCCTTATTGTTACCAAATATTATATGCATGTGACTTGGCCCAGCTAATAATTGTTTACACCTACTCATTTATTGTATCCATGATGACATTTCTAATCCCATCACCTAGTAAAATTGACAATTGTTCCCCTCACACTCCGCTGTAATAACTTTGTTCAATGCATTAAAAGGTCAAGGATTAAAAAATATGTCTCCCAAACTGAACCTGTGTTTTGTGATTTTAAATGTTAAAGTGTTATAACAGCTGATCATTCTGTGGTGTTGCAGAAATGTAATCATCTACCAACTCTACTAAAATAAATCAAAGTGGCAATGCGCACCCGGGTACCAGAAGTGAGAGGTTGGGATTAAAAAACTATTTAAAATATTATTGTTGGGTTTGTAAGACAAAATGATGTATCACATGAAAGATAATGAATGGACAATATGTTTGTAAACTTACTTCTTCAGTTTAACTAAAAAAAACTATTGCAAATGAAATCCGAATAGCATTGGTCCAATGGGACCCGGGTGCGAATGGCGGCGATGCGTGTCCGGGTCCATTTTGTCATACAAACCCAACAATGATATTTTAAATAGATTTTTAATCACAACCTCTCACTTCTGGTACCCGGGTGTGAATAGTCGCAGCCAAAATATATATTATAAATCTGAATCAGAAGTTTTACTTGAAGGGGTGATAACTATAATAATATTCATACCATATGATTCCTTTTCTAATTTACTCACATAACATCTATACTTATATGAGTCTCTGGATTCTTTTTAAATTAGTTTTGGTCATTTTAGTGATGCCAAAACATATCAAAATTAATTTTTTTTTTTAAATTTTGATACCACAGCACGTTTGCACTTGACAAGAATTTAATTTATTATAAAATATTACGTTAACCGATTATGGTTACTTTCAAAAGTAGTTTTGTATGTTTTTGTTTATCAGCCAGAACTAAATGCATTCTGTTCCTTTTAGGTATAGCTAAACACATGAAATGGGGTCGTCAGGAAGATGCCCATGAATTTTTGAGATTTGTGGTTGATCACCTCCAACAGTCTTGCCTGAATGGAGAGAGCAAGTAAGGAGATAGCTCGAACATTCAATGGATGTTATAAATTGCTTAGTTTGTTATTTTATCTCTTATTTAAACAAAATATATTTACTTAATAACTAATATTAAATGATTTTGAGAACATAGTAAAATGTATTAAATTGATTTTAACTTCAACATTAATTATATTAACAGACTTCGTAATATTGTTTTCTACCTATTTTGTTTACAGCATTTATACAATAACTGTTATTACTGGTACTTTCAGGCTTGATCAGCTGAGTAAAGATACTACTGTCATTAACCAAATATTTGGAGGGTACCTAAGGAGTCAAGGTAAATCCATTAACTTGATTAGTTTCAAAATTCTAGGCAAAAATCATGTAAACCTTTTAAATTCAACACAGTATCCAATCTGGCAATGAAATGTTTATTTCAAGCCTTATAATCATATTCATCAATTTCATTAAAAAAAATTAGACTAAATTTAACCCTGGAACTGTGGCATGCATCATTCTGTGGTGTGGAGCTTTTCAGAGCTTTTTGAGTGCCTTTTGAAATTGCATTGTATAACATAGAAATATTGATGCAAGACCCCAATGATTATATATTTTTAGAAAGTTAAATGGATGGGGATCAAGTTGGCCATATTGCCCACCCAGTAAAAAAAATTTGCTCAGTGTCCTTGACCTTGGAGTGCTTAAGAAAATAAAAATTGACAAAATGTCTTGCTTTCAAGTGCTCATAACATCATTAATTTTTTATAGATACACTTAAAACACAAATGTTGTAGCCAATTCATTTATCTTTCAGAAAATGTATAGTTTGCTAAGGTTTTGATTACAATTTAACCTCTGAAATCAACTTTAGTAATTTTTGGTCATTGATATAAAAAAACAGGGACCACAGCTAAAACAAAGTACAAAATACAAAATCTCAGTGAAAATAGTTATTATTGACTAGTAAACATTTAAATAGGAACTGTGGAACTGATTTGGGTTGTAAAACTATAAAATTTATTAGTTCTTATCTATAATCTGTAGCTTTTTGAGAGCGTTTTGAGTGCCTCTTGAAATTGCATTAAATGACATTGAAATATTAATACAAGACCCCAATAAGTATATATTTTTAGAAAGGCAAATGGATGGGGATAAAGTTGGCCATATTGCCCACCCCATAAAAATTTTTTTGCTCAATGTCCTTGACCTTGGAATTCTCAAGAAAAAAAAATCGACAAAATGTCTTGCTTTCAAGTTATCATAACATCATTAATTTTTATAGATTCACTTACAACACAAATGTTGTAGCCAATTCATTTATCTTTCAGAAAATGTATAGTTTGCTTAGGTTTTGATTGCAATTAAACCTCTGAAGGCAATTTTAGTAATTTTTAGTCATTGATATAAAAAACTGGGACCACAGCTAAAACAAAGTACAAAATACAAAATCTCAGTGAAAATAGTTATTATTGACTAGTAAACATTTAAAAAGGAACGGTGGAACTGATTTGGGTTGTTAAACTATAAAATTAGTTCTGATCTATAATCTGTAGCTTCTGTGACTAAAATTCAGTCAGTCCTTGCGGAACCTCCGGGCCTGGCTCGAAGTCAAACAGTAGCCTCAGTAAGCCTACTTCAGTATCACTAAGACTAGTATCAGATTCACGAAAAGAATAATCTGAAGTGAGATATCATGGGGAATGTTAAAATCATCATCAGTATCACTTAAATGCTTTATTAAAAAGCTTTCAAAAAAAATTATATCAGTTCTTGCACTGAAGGCCCGGCCATAGCTTCCGCCATTTTTGCTTTTTAAAAAACAGCGATATAAAATTCCAATTAAAAAGCACTTATTGTTAAGTTATCAGGAAACAGCTTGATCCGGAAGTTGATTTAATTATTAATAAAAGGACATGGCAACGATTTTGGTTATTATTGGATTGGAAGTTGCTATCGGACCGTGTTTTTTATCGGCTGCCACAGCAAAAAAAAAAAGAATATCTGCCGATTTTGTCGGCCGACCACAGTTCGAGGGTTAAATGGTTATACAAAATACATTTTTTCTGCTTTCAAAACCCTCCTTTTTTAATGACTCCTTTCTTAAAACATGAACTATGCATTTGGGAAATTTACAGTTAATAATAGAAGTGGTAAGGCTTTGAACCCCAAAGACACATATTCGGCTTTAGTTAGTTATACATAGACATTGCAGTGCTAAATAATTAAGATATAATTATTTTCTCCTTTATATATCAGCTAGTTGTAACCTATCTTCAAAAATATTGAAGATGGAATGACTTTCTAAATAACTTTATTTTTATTTATAAAACTTTGATTTCTTTTGTTGTGCCTAGTATTTTTACAAAATATTTGCAGTTCACAATTAGAAATTACAGTTCAGATGTATCATGAGTATTATTATGAGTTTGAAACATGACAGAATTCTAAACCTTTCAGACTTCAGTTAAAACATACAATATTTTATCTACTAATTCTTCAGTGACTTGCCTGAGATGCCATGCTAAGTCTAACACATTTGATCCCTTCATGGACATAAGTTTGGATATAAAGGTGAGTTGATTAGTGGCTCTATTCTTTCTTAACTACTGTTAAATAAAAATTAAAACCAAATTAGTTATTAATGGTTTTGAAAAGCATTTTTATTTATGGATGGAAGATCCAAAGAAGTCAAGAAATATGTAGTTGTCTGAAGACCCATCCACATTGACTGCATTTAAAAAAGGCAGCCTGTGCTGGACAGGACACCTTGATAGTATGCCAGATCATAGAGGAGCAAAAGTATTTTACAGACTGAAACCAATCAGCACCCGGCTGACCAAAACTGAGATGACTTGATGTGGAGACAGATTTACATTCGATGGAGGTCCACGTAAAGCCTTGGGATGTTGTGGACCAGCAGACCAGAGCCCTACATAGGCTTTAGCACCGTTGAGGATATATTGTATCATTAAACTCCATCACAAACACAGTATTTTAACACCATTTTTAGAAGACAAAGACGGTTTTATTTATTTTCCTTTGCTTGGCAAATCTCTTAACCCACCTTGTTCCAGATAATTAATTTTTAACTTTCACTTTATCATAACTATAAACAGTTTCTCTAGCCAAAAATAAATCATTTTTAGTGTTCATTTCAAATTTATTGGCCACATTTTGAAAATTGGGCTATGTATTTTCTGTAAAGCTTATAAAATATGATGTCAGATTGGCTTGTCTCATGGTTAAATGAAAGCAAGCAACTAAACTATTTCTGCAATGTGCGGCATTGTACAAAAGAACATTAAAAGTTGTAAAGGTGTATGTTCTATATAATTCATGCATTTTCTGAAAAGGTTAATTAGGATTGATTAGTTACAATGTTTGAACAAAAATTATTCTAGGGTGTTAATACAGTAGAAGATGCCTTGGCAAAGTTTGTGAAACCAGAGACTTTGGAACAGGAAAATGCTTACAAATGTCCTAAGTAAGTTAGTTCATTATTTTGTTCATTGATGTTGAATACGTTGATGTTAGACTCATTATGAGACTATTCAATGCATGTCGAAGATTTCTAAATTTCTTGTGGGTTCTTTGTTCCGCAGACTTATGCTTTGACCTTATTAAAATAAAAAAATGTTAAGTTTAAATTTGTTAGTTTAATGTAGAATTATTTTTTACTACATTATTAGAATGTTGCTGAGTTTAAAATTTAATATTAAAGGGAACATCAATATGATAATACCAGAAAATTTACCTATAAATTTTTTTCAACAGCTGTAAACACAAGGTGCGGGCACAGAAGCGATTTTCTATCCAAAAGGCCCCTAATGTTTTAACTCTCCAGTTGAATAGGTAAAAAGATTGAAATTAAACAACACAAAAATGCAAAATTAATTAAGTAATTATCACATTTAAAAACCTGTCAATGGTGAGAAAGCTTTTTTAATTCCTACAATTCGATGGCCCATCATTAAAAAATTCTGAAATGCTAACCCTTGTATACCAACAACAAAATTAAAATAAATAGCTAAAAATTAGAGGTTAAAATGGAACCAAACAAATGGGTTATTTGAGTTCCTCTTTCTGGTTAAACAAAATTATTATTATGGGCTTCTTTTGACAAAAATTTCTATGAAGGTCCACTATAGTTGCCTCATTTATAATAAACCCCTCGATCTTTCAAAAATATTTTATTTAAATGTTGTTTAGTTTTTATAAAATAAAACTGTGTCACTGTTTCATTTTAGATTTGACTTTCATCGACATCTGTCAGGAAAAATTACAAGATTCATTAAATATCCAGAGAAAATTAACTTGAGAAATTACATGAGTCAAAGACAGGTGGGACAAATTCTGAGCTATACAATTTTTATTCTTAATGTATATCCAAAAGGTCATTGAATTTAGTAATACATTCTCAGATTACTTTCATAACTTTTTTATAAAAAGTTCCTCTTGACAAGATCTATATGTTTTATTAATAAAAAATTCTGTTCTTATTAAAATATATTATTTTGAACTGTGCGCTTTTTAATTTTTGGAAGTCAAATCATTTTAATTTTGTAATGGAAGTTCAAATAAAAGACATCACTTGCATAATTAAATTGGAAAAATGTAAGTAATAATATTTTTTTAATGAATATCCAGGATGAACCCATTTTGTATCACTTGTATGGTGTGCTGGTCCACTCTGGTCACAGCAGTGAACATGGCCATTATTACAGCTACGTCAAGTCCCCTAGTAAAACTTGGTATTGCATGAATGATTCAGTTGTAAGTATCAAAACAAGAAGTAAAATATATATTTATGTGAGCAGGGTAGATTAAAATCACAATTTAAAATAAAATGATAAAAAATCAGATTTTTACATTTTAAAAAGGATTTTTGAGTAAAATAATATAAAAAAAAAATTGTAAAATCTTAATGCAATCCTTTAAAAGGATTTTCATATTTTTTATCAAATAATTACCTTAAAATAAAAACTTATAATCAACGATGGTCTTAATATTATAGTATATATCTCTTATATAAGAATTTCAATTTCACACTTTTAAATTATCAATGTCATAATAGTGTCATTCGTCAATGCCATTTGATTCCACCAAAACCTTCCAATTAAACAGTTTGAAATGGAATAACTATTTTTCAAGCTTTCTAAACCTTTAGTCCATATCTAATTTCTAAAACTAAAAAGTTTAAGTGAATAAATAAAATATTTATTAACCCACGAACTGTGGCATGCATTAAATTGTGGTGTGGAGCTTTTCAGAGCGTTTTGAGTGCCTCTTGAAATTGCATTAAATGACATGGAAATATTAATACAAGACCCCAATAAGTATATATTTTTAGAAAGGCAAATGGATGGGGATAAAGTTGGCCATATTGCCCACCCCATAAAAATTTTTTTTGCTCAATGTCCTTGACCTTGGAATTCTCAAGAAAAAAAAATCGACAAAATGTCTTGCTTTCAAGTTATCATAACATCATTAATTTTTATAGATTCACTTACAACACAAATGTTGTAGCCAATTCATTTATCTTTCAGAAAATGTATAGTTTGCTTAGGTTTTGATTGCAATTAAACCTCTGAAGGCAATTTTAGTAATTTTTAGTCATTGATATAAAAAACTGGGACCACAGCTAAAACAAAGTACAAAATACAAAATCTCAGTGAAAATAGTTATTATTGACTAGTAAACATTTAAAAAGGAACGGTGGAACTGATTTGGGTTGTTAAACTATAAAATTAGTTCTGATCTATAATCTGTAGCTTCTGTGACTAAAGTTCAGTCAGTCCTTGCCCAACCTCTTGGCCTGGCTTGAAGTCAAACAGTAGCCTCAGTAAGCCTACTTCAGTATCACTAACGCTAGTATAAAATTCACGAGAAGAATAATCTCAACTGATACCTTCATGGGGAATGTTAAAATCATCATTAGTATCACTTAAAACCTCTCCTAAAAAGCATTCAAACATATTTCTATCAGTTCTTGCACTGAAGGCCCAGCGATTGCTTCAACCATTTTATCTTTTAAAAAACAGCGATATAAAACGCTGATTAAAAATTATTTATTTTTAAGTTATCGAGAAACAGCTTGAACCGGAAGATGATTTAATTATTAATAAAAGAAAGTGGCTATAATTCCGGTTAATTTTGGATTGGAAATTGCTAACGGACCGCGTTTTTTATCGGCCGTCTCAGTACAGAAATGGAATGTCAGCCGATTTTTTCGGCCGATCACAGTTTGTGGGTTAATATAAAAAACATAAAATCGTGGATTCATAATGGATGAAGAAAATATATTTTATTTGACATCAATTATACATCAACGCAAATCTAAAGTAATTTTTAGCATCTTTCAATAAAAATATATTAGAATTACAGATTAGAATTACAATTAAAATAAAAAAAATTATCAGACCCAAAAAAATGTGATTTTAAAAGTAAATCAATGATTTAAATAATCTCAATGTTATGTATGAGATTGTGTTTGTGAGTTATCTGCAGTTAACGCCCCAGCAACTATTGTAAAAAATATATTTGCTGTATCATTTCTCTTTTATATACTCATAACCAAATTTTTATTTTCCTTAGCATTTATATTTAAGAAATACTATTTCTTGCCTTTCAGGTTCACCAAGCAGCCTATAACAATGTGTTCAATGCGGATGCTTATGTTTTATTTTATGCACGTATTAAGACCAACTCCTCCAGTAATGGGATGCCTTCTGCCTATAGTGGTGCAACTCAAGTGAAAGGGCCTTCTTCACCCTCTAAGGTGTGTTAAAAGATTTGGGTTGTTTACATTCCTTTCTTTTGTTTTAAAACGTTTATTTCTTAATAGAATTCAATAACCTTTTCAATGCGTTCACTGATACTTAAGCAATAACTTTTAACATTTCTCTAGGTGCCATTCATTGGACCAACACTACCAAATCATTTGAAGCCAGGAACTAGTTCAACAATAAATGGGATTCCAGGTAATGTTTAACATGCAATCTATGGCAGGTTTTTCATTTCAAAAATATTATCTTTTTGAACACCCTTTTCCCCTTCCCCAAATAATATTAAAGAAGCTGGTACCAGTACTCACAACTCTCAGTTTCTTTTGAGGTAGGGTCTGTTTGTGTTATGAAAAGTCTGCCTTATTAAGTGGAAATCAAGTTGTTCATGGTGACTTTTACAGACCTGTTTACTCTTACGATTTTGGCGTACAATGTAAGATTTTGAGGTGTATATATTATATTTATACTGTATGTTTATTTTGTTACTATTAAGATATTGTATTGAACGATTTTGTGATGATATTGTACGATTTTAAGAGTTTAAGGGTAAACAGGTCTGCTTTTATTGCTTTGACTGCTGGGCCTCTTGGTCCGTGTTAAACCATGTTCACCAAAGGTCTGCTTTAGCTTTGCCAGTCTGTTGTGAGTTTTCAAACTTTCACACAATTATGTGCCTGTGGTTATTAATTTGATTTTCAATGCAAGTAAGTTTTGCAACATGTAGACACACACATGTCAGCAGAACTCCAGATTTAAGTATCCCTTGGCTACTCTGTATGTTGACTTAGAAGGTAATTTGATCATGATCAGTTACCCCCTGTAATGCATAGATGTGCTAATTTCCATTTCTTCACATTGGTGAGAGTTTTGCACCGTGTCATTTTATCAATGAAAATGCAAAGTAAAATGTGAAGATATGACACCATTTTTTATAGGATTGATAATGCAAAAAAACTTATGGTTACATGAATAATTTCCATCTTCACTCCTATTAATGATAAACTAACAAATAGTAAAATGAAGAAGATTTATTTTTGTTTTTAGGAAAACCAACCAGTGAACTTGGCACACCAATAAAACGCCAAGAGGCTTCATTTTCTCAATCAGCAGTCAACAATGGGCCAAAGATTTTGCCTCATATTACAGCTGGTGGTACATTACCTGGGGTGCACAATAAAATCTCCTTTCCTATTTTAACGGTCTCACAGAAAAAGCTTCTTCAGCAGCAACAAGATGATGGCAAACGAATTGTGCTCCAGATTAAGCATGGCAACTCCACAACTATGGAAAAGTCTCCTGATGGTAAATCCAAGGTTGTCAATGGGGGTCTAGCACCTGGCTCTGGGCTCGTCCCCTACAATAGTGACTCAGACTCAGAACAAGAGAATGCCAGCTGTCAAGGTTCTAAACCTACAACTCCAAACTCTCTAGCTATAAAAACTATTCAAGTGGATGGTAGTTCCACATCAGCTTCCATTGCATCATCTTCCTGCAAACCATCAGGAGATTTCCACCATCATCAGGTGCAAGTCAAAAAGATCAACTTTCCTATGGCAAGTGGAGATGCAAAAAATATGTCAGAAAAGGCTAACTCAGCACCAATAAAAGGACATGCAACTCTTGCATCCAGTGACCCCCTTCCATCTACCTCTCATCATAAACCATCTACCTCCAACTCAAGCGTAACTAAATTAGAGGAGCCACTCAAACATTCCTCTGAATTGTCACAAACTAATAGCTTACATAAAGACAACCAACACTCTTTTGTGGACACTTCCCATGCACCAGGTAAGGGAAGCCTTGTCACTATGGAGCTACCTGTTGTTAATGTTTCGTCCTCTACAACAAGCAACTGTGCTAAAGTCAGAGCCACGGGTGGAAACTGGTTGATTCAGTCCCAGGACTGTGCCCCGAGTCCTCGGGGCTCTTGTTCTAGTTCAAACAGTGTCAATTCTACGACAGAATGGACCGTCGAGTCCAAAGGTAAATAGCAACATTTAAATGGGACACTTAATTGATTTGAAATAAACTGATTTTGGTCTATTTCTTTTGACCAAGTTATTTTTGCTACGAAATTTAAGTCAATTCCTAATCCTCTGCTCCGCTCCTTCTTAATTTTTTTGTATATGGTTTGACTTGTTTCTGAAAAATTATTGCATGTTTTTTTCATTGCTTTAACATTGCATTTTTGTTTTGATAATATGAAAGGTCTGCATTCTGTATAAATTTGCTTCATTTGCTTCATGTCCAAGGCCAAATAGACACTTTAACAACTTTCTTTGGCGCAGTGATCTAACTGCCTATGATTAGCTAGTTAAAGTCAATGTGAATCTTTTTGCAGAGAAATACGATTGACAATTATGCCCCCTTACCATTTTCGTTGATTTGGATCTGTTTGTGTTTCTTAAATTGTCTGATGGTGAATGTATGTCCTGGTTGTAAATTGATTTAACTTGACATTAAAGTATTTACTCTTTAAATATACTATTATTTTTATTAGTTACATTTTGATTTGTTGAAAACCTTTCAGCTGTCAGTGTCTGCTGTCACAAATATTTATTATTTTCATTTGCTAAACGGAGGAAAACTCTTCACTAAAAAGTAATAACATATTATTTACTTCAAATCTTCATTATTTTTTTCATTGACTATTTTTGTATTGCTATTTGTATCGACACTAAATATTAACATAACATCTAGAGTAATGTTATGAAGATTTAATTTTAATAAAATGTTTTAAAATATTACAGAAATGTCATTTGGTGCGAGACATGGGGATAATGGATTGGTCAAGCCTGTGTTTATGACGACTGATTTAAATATTCTAGAGACAGTCAACCAAAGTAAAGACATTATGGGAAAGAAATTAACTGGCAATTTAGACTCCAAATCATGCAAAAAAGATTCAACCACAAAAGGAGGTATATCTCTACCACTTCCTGACAAGCTGCATAGCTCTTCCTCCAGCAGCTCTCAAGCCAGTCATGTGGGATCAAAGAAAAAGAAACACAAGAAAAAAAGCAGAAAATCTCACTATGATGATGATGATGATGACATGAAGAAGAGAGGAGATTATCCTAAGAAAAAGAAAAAGCACAAGAAAAAAGAAAAAAACAAAGAAAGGAGAGATGCTGAAAACTCTGCTAGTGACTCTGAGGGGTTCAAAAGGCACAAAAAGCATAAACATTTACATAGTAGCTCCAGTAGTTATAGCAGCAGTGATGATGGCAAGAAAAAATCTTCTTACAAAGAAAGTGAAAGTGAGGATGGCTATGAATGGGTCGAAAAAACAAAAGAGACAGCAGGTGTAATCAATGCGGTCAAAAGTAGTTTTAAAGGTAAGAATATTAGTCTATAAACTTTCTAAAAAAGATTGTCTTTTAAAAAAAAAAAAAAAAAATCCTTTACAATGAAATAACACGGACATTGACCCATAAGCTTGTATGAACATGAAATACAACAACTCTGATTCAATAATTATGGAAATCAATAGCAATAAACACACCAAGCAATATCATTTGGTTTAAGATACCTTTTATGCCTTATGTTATTTGAATATTTTTTTTCCCCTAGCATCTGTCCAGTCATGGGACCATCATATCAAAGACGACCTTGCTACTAAGAAAGACTCTCACAGTGTGAAATTAAAATCTAACTGGGATGGAACACGTGTTCCAAAATTAGCAGCAAATTTGGAAGGCAGCAGCTTTACTTTTGGAAGCAATGGTCATTAAAAGTTTATGCTTTTCCTTTAATATATTTGGGATGGAATTTTGAAACCAAAAGTTATTTTACCATGCAGGTCGTTAACTTTATTATGTGCTGTCTTTAGATGTTTTTTTTTAGGAGAAAAAAATTTGAGCTTTGTTTTGTCTTTTTCAATCTTAAAGTATTGTCATGGGAAGGTGGCAAAAATAACCTTGACAGTGAGGACAGAAGCAACAAAAGTAAAAAGAGACATTGGTCTGACTTATATAACCAGGAAATTGATGCAGGAAAGGTAAGGTTTCATTTTACATTTGGAGTCAAAATGAAAGTAATTTTTTTTATTTTGCTGAGAGTTACAGATCAAAATCTTCTTAATTTATTTAAAGAATTAAATGTTCATTGAATATCTCCTATGATGAAAAAATGCTTTTCCAATAAAAAAAATTTCAATTAAGGGTAGATTTTTAATAACCATAAAATAAGCACCAGTATCATTTATTTTTCATCTTTTATTTTTCTTGTGGAAAAATAAAACAAAAGCTTTCACTTATTATATGGCTTCTTTCAGACAAAGAAAGTTAAAAAAGTGTTTGACAACACTTTCCCAACAAGCAACCCATTTCAGGATTACCACTCAGATAAGGTCAGTATTAAAGGGGTTAAATATAGGGTTAAATCATTTATTATATTTAAAACTTTAAATGCCCATGACATTTTAAGGAAGTCATGCAGTTTTTGTTGCACATAATCGCAATGAGGATTCACTTATTCTGAAAACTTTCTCATTTTGAGAAAATAAATGATCCATTGGAAAATATAAGGAAAGATTGCATGCAAAGGTGAACGCTAAAAGCTGATTTGACAGAAATATTTGTGTCAAATATGAGATAAGCCCAATGCCGTTCAGCTTGGGGGAAAAAATCTTAATATTAGGATTGCATGACAGAGATTGAAAGAGAGAGAGAGATGTATATGCTCCCACCTCCTATTCGGCCCACCTCTTTTTCCATCCACATAAATTAACTATTACTCTGTCATTTTTTGTGGTATGATGGAGTTTTTTTTACTGGAATTTTTATGTAAGAATAGGAACAGACCTAGTTACTCTATGATTTTGGTGTACAATGTATGATTTTGAGATGTCATTTATGATTGTACACCAAGTACTGCCGGCACTGCGATCTTAAGAGACCGGTTTGAAAAAATATATTCCGGTAATTTTTATGGTTTTAAAAAGAGTACAGTTTCAGTAGTACGTTTAAGTTCCTTTTTAATTTCAGGTGTGGGGGGGGGGGGGAGATCTCTAAATATTTTTGAAACTGAAAATAAATATATAAATGTCAGTCATCCTTTTTATATAAAAATATATTTCGGTAATTTTTTTGTTTTTAAAAAGAGTACAGGTTTAGTAGTACGTTTAAGTTCCTTTTTAATTTCAGGTGTGGGGGGGGGGGGAGATCTCTAAATATTTTTGAAACTGAAAATAAATATATAAATGTCAGTCATCCTTTTTATACATGCAATGTGAATAGTTATTGTAGACATCATCCTGTAGGTTTATTTATTTACTATTACAAAAAGCATTGTAGGCATTGGAGATGGTGAAGTACTAATCTGAAACAATATTGTAATATTTGGGAATTCAAGGGTAACCAGGTCTGCTGTTTAAAAATAACAGTTGTGATTTAGAATCACGAAGGTTCAATTTTGATAAGTTAAGGCTTACCATTATGTCTTGCTTACAAAGTTAGCTAATCATCTGTTGTTTTTTTTTTTAAAATTGTATGTTTTCCTAGGCCAGGGACTCAGCTACTTCATGGAAACAAGATCACAGCTATCACCAGCATCACAGACGGGATAGAAACAGCAGCACATCCTGGACTAATCACTAATCACATTTTATTTATAAGAAATCTTTTAACAACTTATTGTTTGTTGCAATATAAGCCATGCAAATATTTCTCAATGGGAGTGAAGAGATTACCATTAGATGCATTTACCTATGACGGTAGAAAGGGCTAGACCTTGTTAGAGTGAGATGTACAGTTTCAGATTGGTAATGCTATAACTTTCTATAGAATCAACTGTCAACTGTTGTCTGTATTTTGTTTGTAATGCAGCTCCATAGTTTGTAAAATGTCAAACTTTTTTAAATGAACATTTATTTAACCCTCGATCTGTGGCATGCATCATTCTGTGGTGTGGAGCTTTTCAGAGCTTTTTGAGTGCCTTTTGAAAATGCATTAAATGACATAGAAATATTGAAACCAGACCCCTAAAAGTATAGAAAGGTAAATGGATGGGGATAAAGTTGGCCATATTGCCCACCCCATAAAAAAAAATTTGGGCAGTGTCCTTGACCTTGAAGTTCTCAAAATAAAAATTGACAAAATGTCTTGCTTTCAAGTGCTCATAACATCATTAATTTTTATAGATACACTTAAAACACAAATCTAAATGTTGTAGCCAAGTCATTTATCTATCAGAAAACGTATCGTTTGCTAAGATTTTGATTGCAAATACACATCTGAAAGCAATTATAGTAATTTTAGGCCATTTATATAAGAAACTGGGACCACTGCTAAAACCAAGTACAAAATACAAAATCTCAGTCAAAAATAGTTATTATTGACTAGTAAACATTCAAAAAGGAACTGTGGAACTGATTTAGGTTGTTAAACAATAAAATTTATTAGTTCTGATCTATAATCTGTAGCTTCTGTGACTAAAATTCAGTCAGTCCTTGCCCAACCTCCGGGCCTGGCTCGAAGTCAAACAATAGCCTCAGTAGGCCTACTTCAGTATCACTAAGACTAGTATCAGATTCACGAAAAGAATAATCTGAAGTGAGATATCATGGGGAATGTTAAAATCATCATCAGTATCACTTAAATGCTCTATTAAAAAGCTTTAAAAAATATATATATTAGTTCTCGCACTGAAGGCCCGGCCATAGCTTCCGCCATTTTTGCTTTTAAAAAAAACAGCGATATAAAATTCCAATTAAAAAGCACTTATTGTTAAGTTATCAGGAAACAGCTTGATCCGGAAGTTGATTTAATTATTAATAAAAGGACATGGCTACGATTTTGGTTATTATTGGATTGGAAGTTGCTATCGGACCGTGTTTTTTATTGGCCAATTTTTTTGGTGCCACAGCACAGAACGAGAATATCTGCCGATTTTGTCGACCGACCACAGTTCGAGGGTTAAATAATTCGTCATGTATTCAGAAAGAAGCAAATGTTTTAAAGCATTTTCGAGAATGGAAATTTTTTTTTTTTTATTAATGGCTAATGCTATGTTGAAAATGATTTGGGGATTAGTCTTTTTATAGCTCTAAGTTATGTTGCTGCATGCTATTGTTTTTTTAAAATTTGTTTTAAATAAATGATTGTATAATTTTAAAAGTTGATTGGTATCATATGTCTTACGGGATCCATCCCATCAAATTGTTAAGATTCTAGGCCTTTGTTATTTATATTTAAAAGCTGTTGTTGATAGACTGGTATACATGTTTTAATCGGCCACTCACTGCTACTAATAATATATGTGATTTTCTATGAAAACATGTGTACACTGCAGTTACTTCCTACTTTTATACATAGAATTAATTAATTTATTATATCTCATGTAGTTGTTTTAGAATACTGTTTTCAACATGTCATATAACAACAAAGCTTGCAGGTGGTCTGTTTTGGTTACCACCAATCTCTGACATTATCACATTGCAAATTTCTCACATTCTTTTATTCCCTCTTTTTTTTGAATGGTGATGTGGGGTGGGGTTGTAAGTGTAAATGAATTAGTTGTTTTTTTTTTTTTATCCAAACCAGTATTATTTTAAATGTACAGTAAACAACATATAGGTTGACCAAAATTTAAACTTACTGTAAGCCTTTTAGTCAATTCAATCCCTTGACATTTTTTCAACAAAGCAATACTTGATAAATTTATTTAAATATACTATCGCCTACAATTAGACCACACGCCTACAATTAGACCACACGCTGACAGTTTATAATATAGCACTGTTTGGCAATGTATCATTCCTGTGATCACCTTGAGTTTCAAAGTAAAGAGCCTTCATAATTCAAAATTTCAATGATCTATTCGAGTCCAAGAGACTAAATTTGCCACTTACTCTGATAAAAATGAAACCACTGGCTCTACCTTTTTGCTGAAAAAGACATGGTTGTTTTTTTAATGTAGGCTATGGACTGAGGTCAAACTTTGTTTTATTACTTAAATGGAATCTTAATGTTTGATCATTATTATTTTTCATTAAAAAATATATATAATACCGTAAAGATTTATTAAAGTCATTGAAATTGAATATCCTAAAACTAACAGAAATATCTGTTAGTAATATTTTTTTTTAAATTTCAATTTGTCCATGTTAATTTGTTTTCTTATTAAATTATTAATTTCTTGCTCAAATTATGTAGATGTATTTAAAACCAGAATAAGTTAATTACCAGGTTTTCAAGTTTTAGATTTCCAACTTGCTTATTGATTTTAAAATGTGTTTATTGAATTTTACTATTAAACTAGTAGATGTGTCAGAATATAAACAAGAATATATTCGGTGAGGATGCTGTTGCCTTGCAAGTCCTATTTGTGCCTGGAAAGCTCTTGTGGATGTAGGACACATGTAGCCCATCTGGCTTCTGCAACCACTGGCTGTGCTTTTATTTTGGCATATTTCATTGTCTCTCTGATGTGTGTGCCAGCTTGTGTTTTTCAAAGCAAGTCCCATGAGTTCAGATTGATTAATTTGAGGAACACTATAATTAGCAATCTATGTAACTTTTTGCTGCCCTTTGAGTGTTTCACCTTGGATAGTTACTGTACATTAGGTTTTAGATAGTCTGTTGTCTGGCTTTCTCGCAACATTTCCAGCCCATCTGGCTTGTCCTTGTAAAATTGTGTTGATGCTGAGAAAGCCAGCCTGTTGTAGGAATCCTGTTGCAGGGATTTTATCCTTATACAGTATGCCAAAAAGCTTGGGTAATCAGCAGAGGTGGAGATAGTTAAGTTGTCTAGTGTCTTGCTGTAATGTTAATAGGATTGAGGAAGCATCTCGTAAAAGTGACTACTTTCATCATGAAATAATGCAACTAGAATTCATTGTTTTAACTATTAAATTTAAACTATTTCAAATGTTTGAAAAGTCATCCTCCCTGCGTAATGTGTTAGAATGAACTTCCATTGATTTTATTCATGGAGATTAATGCATGGTTTTCAGTGATTCACCTAGTGGCTTCTGATGAAACAAAACACCTAACCTATTTTCTGATTCATTTGTTTTTCATTGCAGTTTTATTATTAAATCAGTGTAAATAAATTCTGGTTGTCAGAGTGGAAAGGGATTCTGTATTAGAAACTGGAAATGGAAAGTCTCTGTATGTTACTTTATCAATTATGAAACTTTTGCTGGTTTGCTAAAGCAGCTATAATCTCATACTGAACTATGCTCTTACCCAATTTGTCACTATAAATACATTTATTGATTTCAATATAATTCCAACTTATTTGGCTTTACAATATCACTAAAGTTGTCAATTCAGAATGAGATGCACTGCCAATTTAGTTTTGTTTGTCATGCAAATACCATAATGTTGGAATATGGGCTTTTTGAATGCAATGCCAATATATGTGGGCGACTTAATCTCAACTGAAATGGGTATATTTTTGCTCTTGGAATCTTAGATAATCTTGTTGAATTAAAACCACGATTATTAGCTACTCTTGGTTTAGTAATTCACCGACTTGAAAGATTTTGATGTGGAAAATTTAACCGATATGTTGTTTTCCCTATTTACTGTTTAAATTGTAAAATATCGGATGATGTTTTTAAATTATGCATGACACTTTGAATAAAATATTGTACATTAAAATGACTGTACATGAACTGTTAATGTGTAAATAAATGATTAAACCATTAATTCCTCTAGTGTGACTAGAAGTTTAACTTTGTTTTGTTCAGGATTATTTTATTACCCAAATGATATGTAAAGTGGAATTAAATGTTTATTAAGTACATGATTTTATATTAAATAACAAATGATGACCTGTTAAATTGTTTAGCTTTTTTCTTTAGCTGTATTTACTAAACTGTAAAGGTATCATAATTTAAGTGCTATGGCTATACTTAATAATCCCATTAGTCTAATATCCCATTAGTCTAATTTTATTGACACCTATGCAAATTAGAGAAGATTTACTAATCATCAAGGTTGGATTCCCTCTTTCTGAAGATGTTGATGTTTGCTTTTCAGACAGAAAATGGACTGATAATGGTGGTGATATAAAGAAATGTTTTAGTTGAAATTAAATAATTATTATATTATTCAAATTATAAGAGTGAATTATAAAGAAGATTGGGGCTTGCCCATATTTAATTTACTGATGATGTATAGTAATTTTAATAAAATGACAACACATTAAAAAAATATCCATTTAACTAGATTATATTGTTTATTTCAAATACTGTTTGTAGGCTAGATACAAATGTCACCTTGGAGAAATACATGCCTACAAAGGTGATTTTTTTTTCTTTCTTTTATCTATAGCTGCACACACTACACTGATGATCTTAAGATATTTGTTAAATTTTTAAATGCCGTAATAAAATGATAATATACAATTGAAATTAAATAAAAAGTTTAAAACAGTAACTTATACTTGTCAAATTTTGTAAATTAAAAACAGTTTGTTCACTGATCAGTCATTATTTAGGGCAAGGGTTCTCAACCTGTGGGTCGCGACCCCATGAAGTGGCAACAAAAATAATTTCATAGGGGGTGGGGGTGTCACCACAACATGATGAACTGTATTAAAGGGTCGTATCATTACGAAGGTTTAGAACCCCTAAATTAGGAATATTAGGATGTTAAATTTTTTAATGAGGTAATAAAATGATAATTGAAATCAAATAAAAAGTTAAAAACAATAAACTTGTCAAAACACCCCCCCACCCCCACCCCCTATTTGAAATTTATAGTATTTTTAGAAACATGAATTTCTAATTAAAAAGAACAAGCATGTTAAAAAGTTCCAATTTATGTATGTACCCTGTACAGTGATGTATTTTTAAACAATCTTGAAAAAAACAACTTTATAATAATTTAAAAAATTGTGTGCAGATAAAGACCTTTCATAGCAATTTTATTATAAAATAGAAACTTTTATAGCAATTTTATGATAAAATTTCTAATTAAAGATGAGGGTGCAGAAGGTATAAATAGATTAATTTATTATTGCACTAATTTGATAATCTAACATCATATAAAATCTCTCACTTTTCATTTTTTATTCGAAGAAACATGACCAATATGATGAAATAACTTTAAGGTTGTTCAATAATAAAGAAGACTGCCCTTATAATTTATGACTTTTATGAGGACTATCCAAAAAAATATTGTAGTTTCTGAATGACATTTTCTGTGTTTTAAAACTAGGAAGTACAAATGAGTCTCACAAAACAACAACTTGTCAAGTAAGTTACTGATTTGTTAAAATAAATAAATAAAATAGATGTATACCAGTACTCATCACTCCTGCTTACCAATTGCACTTGCAAGAAAAAAAGTCAGATTTAAAAGCTGCAGTTACATCTTCTCATTACACCTTATTTACAAAGCCATTCATTCGTTTAAATACCAATATAAAAGTGAATTTGATCACCATAATTAACCACATGGAGTGAAAAGGATAGCAACTTATTGTCACATTAAGTAAGATGCTAAGAGATTTTCTTAAATTAGCTTTTAATCAAGTCAATTGTTAAGTATTCTAAATTTACAACAAAGTTCCATAAACTAATCAAAATATTTAAAGTTGACTACAATGATTTCAATTCATTCTTTGAAAGCTACAATTCGAGTAGCCCTATTCTTCATGATGCTACTAACCATTGGTAGGGGCAATAGAAAACAACCATACTTGGAAATGAGAATTATTTACAACAAAACACTATGCTTGATAAACATTTAATATGGGCACTTTGTATTTCTAGTTGAGTACAAATACATGTTTACATCATTTAGCTCCATGCTAATTCATCATTAAATGTGTACATTGCTATCAGATTACAGATACATGTGTACAGCATTATTATTTACGTGGAGAGTCAAGCAGCATTCCTTAATATATACAACATGCACAATGTTGCAAAAAAGATGCAAATGAAACAATTTCAAAGATATTAAGATTATTATGTCAACAGTAAATGTGGTACTAAATTTAGGCATGTCAAATACATTAAAAATTTCAAAAATCCTTTTTTTACTTTAACAGACTTTGAAAATGTGATTCAATCATGCCCTAGTTTACATAATGTACACACTGAAGATAAACTTGTCACTATATTTTTTTACATATCACCTATGAATACAAAAGACAGCTTTTTTAAACAACAAATTTAAAAAAAAAATTAAAAACTTGCTACCCTTCCCCATTTCTTTAAATTACAATTTTAAGTTGTTTTTTTGTACATAATTTTCACATTGTGTGATTTTTTTACTGATTAAATTATTTTATATATAGTGCACAATTTTCTAGAAATTGCTACTGTAGGTAGACACCATACATTTAAAGGTAAAAAAATTATCTTAAAAATTAATATTTTGTCTAGCAGTTGAGGTAACAAATTTTTGTTCTTTTGCTCTACAAATTCTTTTTCACTAATGAACTTTTTTCTGGAAATTTTAATCTGCAATAAAGATTTTAATTAACATTGAAAGTCACCAGAGATATAACCTTCATTTAAAATATTTCTGATAATTAATCTATGCGAATTGAAAAAGGAAGACATGAGTCATTTTGTAAGAGCAAAAAAAAAAAAAAAAAGAGCAGTTGAAAATAACATCAGAATTCAATAAAATGGGCTGAAGTATATGAACATGTTTGAAACAAATTGCAGGTTTATCTTTTAATTCATTTAAAATATTTCTGATAATTAAACTAAGCGAATTGAAAAAGGAAAACATGAGTCATTTTGTAAAAGAAAAAAAAAAAAAAAAAGAGCAGTTGAAAATAACATCAGAATTCAATAAAATGGGCTGAAGTATATGAACATGTTTGAAACAAATTGCAGGTTTATCTTTTAATGGGCAGAACACTTTCTGATTAATTTTGGACATGATGACTCCTTTTGTTCATCAAGCTCTAACTCAATAAAACAATTATAGATCATTGGCACTGTTAAAAGTTAAGATAGCATAAGTACTGCTTTCTGTGAAGACCAATATTTTGATTAAGTGTGGATCTTAATTTTAATAACTTGATTGATATGCAAAAGAGCAAAGAGTATTATTTTTTGATTTGATACTATGTGTAGTTTAGTTTAATTTTGGGTGCCAACATTTCATACTAGCCCAGAGCCTTGCATCAATGTGTACCATGTTAAGAATTTTGGGTCAACAACAAGTAGCATCCATAAAAAGAATGGTCTAGGACCTCAATTTCTAATAAGATAGTTGTATGACATCACATCAACAACTGTGGCACATATAAAAAAATTCTGAGACCTTAAACAAATTATGTCATAACTGGACCCTCTTTAATTGGCTACCTTGGCTTGCCAGCAGAGCCTGTAGCATTTTTTCTTCTTGCAGCCAACATGTCATAGAATGGATTATCATTAATGCTTGCCCTGAAATATTAAGCAAAACATTACCTTCATTTGTAACAAAATATTACTGCCTAGCTCTAAATATCAAGCGAATCAATTTTTAATTTCTGCCTTATCTTTTTAACAAACATATGGCATCCACATTGCGACCACCTATTGTTAAAAAATATAAAATAGCACTTTCATTTCTTATTGGGTAAATTAATGGAAATCTTTTTGGAAGGTTCTCCTGGCCTATAAGCTGATTGGATTCACAGAAATAGAACTAAATTAACATTTAACAAATTTGCACCTACCTAATGCAATTGATCCATTCTTCTTTGTCCTCCAGTGTGTTTGCTGCCATTCTGTAGACATTGTGACGCCCTGTCACAGAAACATGTAAATTAGTTTAAAAAACAAGCAAACTCCATTTCAAAGTAGGATTATATTGCTATTACAGCATGAATCTTTCCACTAAATTATGAAATGCTGTGTTTTTGACCAACCAAAAATTATGGTAAAAAGTAACATTGAATTGACTTTTCAAATAAAATAAGGAGAAAAAAATGCGTCTTATTGAACAAATGTATTATGAAAACTTACCTTCAACAACTTTTCCATCAGAATCAACTTTACATGCTTTGATAATATCGGTTGTTCCTTGTGAATACAGTTCAAAGCAGTTAGGTCTTGATTTTTCAATGGCAACTTCCCTAACTTGAATATTTTCCAGAGGGATGATTCCTTTAGGTTCTTTGTCCTGTAATTTTAAGTAATAAATTTTAATGTTGATCTCATCATTATGCATAATTGGAATAGTAATTTAACAATCACATCTTACAAGAAATTTAATTTAAACCCCTACAGTGACTTAAAGTCTTCAAACTCTTAGGAAAATAAAGTAATTTTACATTTAAAAAACTTACAGTTGTGTACTGAAAGTAATAAAGACAGTTGTCATTGAGAATAAACCACCGTCGCTTCCAGTTCTTTACCCTTCCACCTGCAAACAATCAAATAAAATGCTATAATAATATCTTGAATAAAAAAAAACGTCATTAAATGTTGACCTCAATCAATGAACTTATTTAATAGTTTAACTTCAAATATGCTCATTTTAATAGGTTTGTGACTAGTGTTGGTGTCACCTGTTGTGGTAAACTCATGGTGTCGCCCAGGGATACCTCGCAAAACTGCACAGTGTAATTCTTAACCAGATAATACAAAAATCGCTTATAGTGTAGTATAGTTTGTAAATTAAGTGCTAAAGCAACAAAAGACATGAGAAACAAAAATAGAATTTGACGAACATGTGTTTTAAAAAATGCATCAGAATAACTTTTTATTTAACATTAATCCTAACAATTAAAACTTTACTTTCTTGTTCTTTAAAGTCGGAAACCTGTCAATCACTACATCAAAGTAAGCATTCTCCACCTTATCACTTTCAATTAACAAAATTTCAATCAACAAAATAACAAGACCGGAAAGACTGGAATGTTTCAGTTTCATGCTAGATCGCAAATAGATCTTCATAAGGTTTATTTTTGAAAAGCTCCTATTACTTGGAGCCAAAGATTGTGAGTTATAATTGTAGGCTTAATGAGAGAATTGGAAGAGAATCTAGGAAGTCCCATTTAGTAATGAATTTTAAAATTTAAACACTCTTTGGCTTCCTCACCTGGGCCAGACACGCTTGAGCAAAGCGATATTATAAATTAAACAGAGAAGCAAAACAGACCTTCAAATTTTGCAGTTAGTTTAAAACAATATGTAAAAGAAATCGACAAAGGAGCTTATTTGTATGTTTTTTTCTGAAGTGAACGCAGCTAAATCATGACCTACTTATAGCGACACAAACTAAAGCTATGCAAATAAAATTATGGCAAAAAAACTAGATGCTCTGGTGGAACCCTGTTTTTAGGGGCGATTTGTTCTAGAGTCACTCCTGCTTTAAACTAATTTAATTTAGATGATATAAAATTAACTCATGCGACTTTTGTTAAATTTTCAAAGTTGTCACCATGCTTGCCAAACCTCTGTAAATTTACCAACAGTCCGTAAAACTATGACCTAGCATAACTGGTCCATATGTGTCCACAAAAACTTAAGGATGTCTTTTTAAAAAAATGAGACATCATACATACATTTTTTAAGCTTGCTTAAAACTTTTATACTCATTATGAAGAGAAATCTGGTGAGAATATACAATAAGCTAATGCTTACAAAAAGACTCATGTCTCATAGTCAAATGACATAGAGTCATAGTGATAGAAACTTACATATTTGACACAGAAAGTTGTGAAAGTATATGATTCTTTTAGCTTCATAGTTTCAACATAACTTTAAAAATGTGAGGGCGTCACCCAGTGCGACCTCCAACCCCCAGTGACCCATATAAAAAGATAAATTTATGAAGAAAATCTTCAGTCTATCTCAAACCTACCTTGCTTATTTAGCCAGCCCTCCTTCACAGGGTTAAAAAATGTGTGCATTAGGTCATTGCCATCATCTTCAGGGATCTTGAAAGGTTCCTTTTTAATATTGTCATACAAATTCTAGATGAAAATTAAAAAAAAAAATTTGTTAATGTTTACCTTACAGGCAATTTCAACTTTGAGTGTTTGGATTATTACAAGTATATCTATAATGAAAACAGGTAATTTTTTTAATAAATAAAGCAGTTGGAAATCATATAATAAGTCATACTTTACATATAGAAACAGAATTAAAAACTTTGAGCAATCCAAAGCCACCAAGCCATATGCTTTTCACCCCACTCCCCTAAATATGCCCTGATCAAGAGCAATTTTCTTAGTCTGTACTTGCCACAAAAAGAAATAAAGAAATGATAAATGCATAATTTATATGAAACATCCCAAACATTAAGAACAAATATTACTTCAAAGAGTTAAATTCAATGATAATGTCAGTGGTTGATGATTGCTATTTTTTAAAAATTGTTACAGACGAGAAATTATTTGCAACTATTTCATTACTCCATGGAAAATACTTTATAAATGTAGTAGGCTGAAATTTCCATTAAGACTCTACCTAAAAGGATGGTAATTCTTGATATAAGCACTTACTATTAAAAGTTCTTGAGGTAAGTTTCCCCCATCATTTATGCCTCTATTCATCTGTATAAATCTATCAACTGTGGGCTTGTCTTTAACACTTGGGTTGTGTAAACTTGTGTTTAGCATGATAATGGCAAAAGACAGTACATAGCATGTGTCTGAAAGGGGCAAATAACAAAACATAAAAACTTTATGTAAGATGAGCAAACAATAAATATTATCCAAAAAATTTATTTATGTAACATATTTATATGTATAAATATATATGTATATATTTGATAAATTTCTGTGGATAATATTTTCATTTTCAATGTCGCTATGAAACAAATAATTGAAATTTAATCTAAATCTAGTGTTAGCTTAAATAATATTGTCAGATCCTTTAAATAAAAATGTGTCTTAAAAACTGTACCTGTATTTACAAAAACACCAGGATTCAATGAACAGTAGCGCTCAGCAAAAGATTCCATCATTCTGTCAATCTTCTGGGCCTCACCGGGTAGTCGGAAGCTCCAAAGGAATTGTCTACAGAAGAATTTAGGAAAAAAAAATGATTTAACCCTTTACATAAAAAATAAAATTTTCATCCCAAAAAAATCACAGGGTTAATATTAAAAAGAGAAATACACTTCTTATAGTTGGGCAAGAAATAAATATCAGTGCACAAGTAAGTACAGCATAATGTAACAAACAAAATGAATGAGGTTAAAGACATCTCAAAAGAAAACCATACCTGAGAGCTTGGACTAGAATCATATCTGTAAATTCATGGAGATTTACAAAAGCTTTCAGAACTGCCATGTTGAAGTCATGTCTGCCAAAAATGAAATAAATAATAATATAACACACGATTTTAAAAAAACTGCTTTTATTTGAAATGTTAAAAAAGAAAAAACGAATTAAATTCTTGTTCAAGTTTCCAAAAAGTCTTTATAATTTTCTATTTTGTTATTTCTAGAATAACCTATAAAATCAACAAGCCTTTTTTTTTATTGCTGTTTTTGTAAACATTCAGATAAAATCAAATCAAATTTGATACCTTTCTCCAAGATAATCTCCTATTGCAGTTTTGTTAAGGCCTTCTCCTTGGAAAAGGAATCTGGCTACATCTTCTGGAGTGTGCTGAAGCAGGCCATGATCTATAAGGTACTCAATACCCTTGGGAGTGAAGATAAATCATAATTAAATAAATTTAAAAAAAAAAAAAAAACTGAAAAATTTCCAGCACCAGTCAGTCCTTTTTATAATTGGTAGAGATATAGGCCATTGTGTGTGCACATTTTGCACCAAAAATACTGAGGTGTGAAAAGAAATCAAATATTAAAATCTCTTACTTCAAATGAGTCCAATATTATTTCTTAAAGCAAAAGCAAAACAAATGAATGGCAATATAGCTCCCTTTTTCTTCAAAAAAAAAACAAAAAAAAACCAAATAATAACACCAGAAAAATAAACTTAAATAAAACTAAAGATGCCAAATAAATTTTAAACCAAGGAGCCACCAGTGCCTAAGTATGATAAAAAAGTATCAAATTTTTATAAACATGTGAAATGATGTAATATATTTCTATGAAGGCCACATAAAAAAAGATAGTACAAATGTTGATTTCTACAACCAATAATTATATTGTGTATTCCAAAAAATTATGATATTATCATACATACTTGGGTTGGAAAAAAAAAATTGTCACAATACCTATTAAATTAAAAAAGTATCTTTAAAAAAAGATTGAACTTGTCAATAACAAACCAGATGCTTTCAGGATTTAATATAAAAAAGTAATATTTCAAACCTTCTTAGGATCCATATTGAACTTTTTTCGACCAATAGAGATCTGCTTGGCCTTGGGGTCAGGTTTGCTAGAAAAAAGTTTAACAAATATATACTTCAGCCTTAATTAAAAACTGTTCTTTTGAAAAGATTGTTTAATCTAGTTAGAAAGCTGTAGTTTCATTACAGCAATTTATCTATAAATAAAGTCATTTAAAGTATAAATTTTATATATATATATATAATATTTGTATATTGCAATCATAGCTTTATATGCTCACCTGTCCTCACCAATATCCATCCCTTCCAATTCATTTGTAATTTCTTCTATTTCTTTCTTCAAATCCTGAAAACCATAGAATTTATAAAATGAAAATTGATAAGCTGTTAAAGCACTTCATTTCTATTACTGAATTAAGTTATTTTTAAACACCCCAAAATTATGAAACAAATATTAAAATTATGGAAATGTTAATTACAGTACCTAGAAATTGTGTTTTCACACCCAAAACCTGAAAACAATTTATTACTGTTTGTTCCCTTTTACATCATTTCAATCAATTGTATTTAATCACAACAGTCAAACATTTGTCCTCATGTCAAATATTCCGTTGTATAAATAAATGTCTTATGATGCTGGGGACTATTTCGATGGCATGTGCTCCTTAGCCATACAAACTAGTTCGATTCAAACAACACAAAAGCTTCATTGTACGTAATGCGTTTTATTTAGACATCACTCAAACAACAATCTGGTTCACATTGAAGTTGAGTCATGAATCCATATGTAGAACAAAATTCTCCTCAGGCAAAATATCTCACAGTGAAGCTCTATAAAAATACTCGTCTCTCTGTCGCTCGCTCTATCTCACACACTTCCTTTCAAAAGTCTCTAGTTCACTCTGCTTTCAAAATAGTTGTTTCCCCTTTTATCCCCAAAATTCACGCACCCGTCCATGACTTGAAAACAGTTCACACTCGTTCAAATAACCAAATGTCACAACATCACAACACACACTAACTCTGATTTCATGACCTGGACAACAACTACAGAGTCAAACAATTATTTCATACACCATATCATCTGGATTCCAGCACTAAACTTTATTTGTGTGTGAATACAAAATACACAGCAACAGGAAAATGGCATTTCCATGGATTGATAATATGGAGGGAAATCTACAACAAGCGGCCTGCCTGTGCACATAAATAAAATCATGAATTGTAAAAACATGTTGTGCTGCAGGCCAGAGCACTCCATCATACACAATGGGTTTTGGTAGCACTGGGATGGATGGAAGGATAATAAACAGATGTGTTGAAAAAGGAGCATTGATAATTCAGAGCGAGAGTTAAGAGCAACATAAAAATCACCTCAATTTCTAAAAGCAGTTGTTGTTTTTTTTCCTGTATACTTTGCAATAGCTGTTGTTCTTCAAAAGTCAGATCTAGGGATTAAAAAAATGCAACTACATTATTTAAAAATTAATATATATCCGATTCCTTTTTCAATACATAAAACATAATCTAAATCTCTTACATAAACACACTTTTTCCAGATTCATAATGACCCCCAAATTAGTCTATAGTATACAGTTCCTAAATTTAATAAAGACTATTCCATTTTTTATAGGATGAAAAATACCTCTTTTTTTTAAAATTGAGCTTTCCTCATATAACTCTCTTTTCAGAAGGACCTATATGATGTGAAGTGAGAGGGTAACAAATCCTGCAAGATATTTGGGTTACAAAAGAGATCCAACTAACCCGGAGGACTGAAACTTTAATCAAATTACCAAGAAAAGGAACTTGATATGATTACAAAAACTATATAGACATCCCTCTGTCATTCACCAGCAAATTCTTCTGCAGGATTGTACTGCAACAAGAGAGAGTTAGCAATACTGCCAATGGTGACAAGGAAAATCCACTCACGGATTAGTAATCCAAATCAGACATTCTGAATTTGGACATGCATATATACTAGAGATAGAGCAACCTGACCATCCACACTAAGACCTGAATTCTCCATTATGAATCAGAGCTGAAGTACATCAGAAGCAGGAAGTTTTCCAGACCAAGTACTTCAAAGTGTCTACAAATATCAATAAAATCTTATGACAAAAGGCAATCTCTAATGAAGAACTGAGCCACTGAGTGGTAGTCAAAACTGTAGAGTCAGTTCAGGGACATCGCCAATGATGGGCTGGAGATGTTTGTAGAATGCCATTTTAGCACCTGGCGACTTGGACAGCATATAGAATATAGACTCAAGGAATCCTGGGCAAAGAACAATGGAATGGATTAGAGGAATAGAAAACTGACCCAGAAAAGAGCTTGCAAAGTAGGCTCAGTTTTAAATAGCAGCTGAAATACAGAAAGAAAAGTGGGATAGGGATGTGCCTGGCCACAGAATCAGCCAGGCATGACTGAGGAGTAAGTCTGAATGAATGAAGTAAATAAACACGTCTATTGTCACTATTGATATTAAGCCTGCTACTTTTTAATTCATCTACCCCCTAATTGAACTAACCATAATTTCTAACACTAGAAGTAGTAGTAGTGAGTAGTAAGAAGTAGTCTAAAGTAGCAATACGAACACAACTTTGACACTTTGTGTCTACATTATTCGTTTTAAGTTTTAATTATCAGTACTTCTAGAACTTGGATACATTTTAATAATTATTAGCTAAAGTAATTAAATACCATTGATATTAAACTTGTTCTCCATTTTACATCTCAAGTGCACTTAAGCACAATATAGAATAGGGCTTAAGTTAGTTCACACATTTAATTTTGTTCAACGTAATCATTGAACGTCGTATCCTTTGCTGCCCACTTCCCTTATTTTCTTTCCAGTGTATATTCGAAAATAAGGATATATTCATTATGGAGAAAACACACACGCCTTCAGAACACAAACATGAAGAAAATTACATACGGCTATATATTTTTTAAAGTATTAAAATATCAGGGAATATGGTTGTATGTGTATAATTTTAATCAATTTGTGATTTTAAAATAATAAGTTTTGGACATTTAAAATAATATATAAACTAATACGAAAATACGGTTTAATTCGTTTTTTCCCCCCACATAACCTCTGACCTTACAGGTGACAAGCAATCTAACGTAACGAAACGATGGGTAACGAAATTGTTCCTGATACGGCGTACACGCCTACCTGAACATGGATTTGTTTTATTTCAATAAAATTTATACGGTAATAGCGTTAAACTGTAAAATGTTTTTTATATTTGTGATCTATTTATGTAAAATTAGGATTTATCTTTTCAATCAAACACGATTTGGTTAATACTAAATCATCAATGATACGAATATTGCATACATGATTCAATGATTATTAATATTATTATTATCAGTATCAGTATTACTACTTCACTTCGTGTGGGTATAGTATATGATTATGACCATAGCATGATGATAATAGTTAAATTATGAATTATCGTAGGCTATATAATATATATTTATATATTATTATATTACATTAAATATTAGTGAGGCTCTAGTTAATCCTATATATTATAATAATATTCCAACCACTCCACTTATGTCCTGTCCCCATCACTAACAGATTGAGATTGGACTGGAAGAAACTGAGTTCAACCCCCCCCCCCCCCATTTTCCTAAAGACAACACTGGCCTATGGGAGGGGGGCATATAGTTCATATATATACTATACTATGTGTTATTCTTTTTAAAATTCTTGAAGATATATTACATATAACCCTCATAAAAATACTGCATAGACTTAGACTTAGACTTTTATAAGTATAAATAAGATACAGATACATACTTTAGTTACTCCACTTTAGAGGGTTGAGAACAGTGTTTCCCTAACTTTTTTTGCCCGCCTAAGCAACTAAAAATGCTTGATGCCTCCCTTCCCCAACAGGGCTAATAAAGATATGTCTCCATGCTGCAATTAGGAAAATTCTATTTTTATTTCACTGCCTGTGCCTGTTTAGACCTCAAAATTCAACATTTTATAATGAAGCTTTCAATGAACTATATTTTCATTGCAATAAAAGACAAACCATAACAATGGTATACTTAAAAAAATTTCTAACTCAGGGGTGGCCAACCCAAAAGGCTTCATGGCCACTTTGATAGCAGGTAAACCTTTTGCTGGCTGCATGTCAATGCACCTAATATTAAAATATTTTTTTAAACATCTGTTTAAGCTGTATAGAATTGTTAATCTATTGTTAATACACATGAAATGCTATACCAATCTAATGTGATATCAATTAAGTTTTTTCTCTCGCCGTCTACTTTACAATAAGTTTCTTTGTTAATTGAATAAAGAAAGAATACGTTTTTTGTAAAAAAATCGGGAATCTACGGGCCGCAATATTTGACATGGTAGGCCGCATGTGACCTGCAGTCGCAGGTTGGCCACCCGTGGTCTGACATATCCCCTTTATTATGCAAATATATTTGCTAAATCAGAAACTTACTGCACCCCCATTAATATTCAGATTGACCCATTTTTTAATCTTTTTCAAGTCATAATTTTCATATTGCAATTATAATCAGCCTGTTGTCGCAGCACCCTAGAAATTATATATTTATAACACTGCTTGATTACACTGCTAATTTTCTGAATTCATAAAATTGTTGTTTTTATTTTGAAACAATGAAAATTTGAAATAAAATATTTTAATATCGGTACTCTACATTGAATTTTTACATAAAATCTCATTTTTATGTCCGATTGGGGATAATTAATTTAACCTTTCTCTGCTGCTTCATTTTCAGCTTTGTCATTGCTAATGTCCAACTCATCCCTTTGAAATGTGTCTCTACAATTCTTCCAAGTTCTTTCTTACATTTTCTTTGTCATTTTCGATGTCTCGCTTGCATAAATTACAGTTGGGATGTTGAGGCTAACATATGAGCAAACTTTTACAACGTGGGATATATTTTTTGCTGAAAAAATTAAGAACTGTCTTAAAAAATATGTGAGGCCTTCCTATTCTGCTCTGAACACCCATTTCAATGCCTCCATCTTTGGAATCTATTCACTGACTGTAACATTTATTTTGCTGCAACATTGGACACTCAAAATTTTTGTTTTTTCCTTGCCTTTCCTTTCGCCTTCTTTACCAGCTTCCTGTTATGGGCTTTTTTAACAAAATATAAAGTTATTAAATATAGAAAGCCTCCCAAGCTTCCAGTTTTAAGTTAAGAACATTTGCTACCATTGACCATGTAGTAAATTTTAATTCAGTAATACTTTCTGTTTGTTTAAATCTAGAAGAGCAGACCTTATGTTATTGAATAGGTCCATATTGTCCATTATAAGAAAGTTAAATAAATATTATCAACATTCTAACAATCGCTAGATAAAATAATTTTTTTTATTATGAATGCCCCAGAATAAAATTTCATATTGACATGTTTTATTAGTTTTATCTAATTTAATATCATAACAGTCAGTTATAAAGGAATTAGAAAGTAATAATTTTTTTACATTTCAAGTCCTTGAATGTAGGGAATGGTTTTAATAATTTATTGTGAAAGTTGTTTTATATTATTAAAACATAAAAAGCTTCTTAACTACAAAATAAACAATGACACCATCAATTTATTCTGAATCATGGTTTATTTGAATGCAAAATTGTTAAATAATAGATTTTTATTTTCTTCTATTAATTTAGTAAACATAGTATCATGCATTATGAAGAAAGTCACGCATGCTTTCCAATGATTTTTATTTATTTTTTTTTTTGTTTGAATGAAAAATTCTTTGTGCTAATACTTAATTACAAATTGTTTCTTTCAGAACCAATGAGTGCATAAACTATGTCTGTGGAAGTTGTTTTGAGCTTAACATCACCTATCTTCCTGGTGGTTTTGCTCTTTGGTTGTTTCAGCTGTCTTTTCAAAAAGAAAGGATTTCAAGTAAGTTATTAAAAAAACAAACAATTTGTTTGCGCTCTTAAATCTTCAATGTTTTCAAAGGATATTAGTGAACAAAAAAAATAATTAAACATTGAGCTTCCGACTGTAATTTAAGTCCCAAATTAAGCTCTTATATCATATATTTTGCATCAATTAAGATGAATAAGTGCTTTAGCCATGAAGCCACACAATGGGAAATACTGTTGATTTCCCTATTTCCAAAATGAAGCCTTCCCACCTCTACTTCATATTTCTATTTCACTGTTACTATGTTTTTGCTGTTACTTAAATATAATTCACCAAACATTGTCTAGTTCCACCTTTTCTTTCAAGAATTTCAGGCCCAGAGATGCTCATAATGCCCAGAACAATCCAGCCTTTTCAGTGGATGTCACAGATGTTGCTAATACGTTGGAGCAAATCACAATTGAACCCCTGCCAGATATTCTCTCCAAAACTTCCACAGTGCCTTGTTTTAAACCACGAATTGTATGCAAGGAAAGGGGAAAGCAAGAGGCATTTTTATCACTTATAAGTAAGGACATAATTCATTTTTAACAGGCATTATTTATGTTGTCAATTTTATTATCTGTAACTGATAACAAAAATTAACGTCAAAAGTAGTGAATTATTGAAAGGAAATTGAATTACGTCGTATTTGAAATTTTTTACAGGATTAATTATATTCTCAAAAAAAAATAGCTTTGACACTTTTTGCTTCTCTGATTTTTTGAACATCGTGTATTTGTTTTTTTTTTAGTATCTGTTAATGCCAGAAAGAGCTGTTTCTAATAGTTGGAAAGTAGTACAATTATGATTAAATAGTTTATTTTACATAAATAGGTCATAACTGCTATCGAACATTTTGAAAATATTGTACCATATATTCTTAGATCTTTAAATTAGATTATTAAGACTGCATGATGATTATATCCCTATATTATAATTGTTCTGTAAAAGAGCTTCCCAAAATATGTCTTGCAACGCATTATTGTGTCAGCATCTATGCGTAGATGTGTTGTGCAAACATAACTGGAAACCTATGAGTCTATAGGGGAAAAGCTTGTCAACTTGATGATGATAGTCATAAAAATCTTGACAATATATGTTATTATGTCACAAATCTATATTCTTAACACTATAAATGAAAAGTTTTTACACATATCACGTAGCCATAAATTTCATGATTACAATTTATTTTTGGGTGTCCATGTCTGTTTTTTAGAGTTAAGTTAACCTCCAGTATAATAATAATACTGAAATACTGTGTCCCTAAAGGATATGCTTAAAAATTGTGTCACCAGTGTAAAAAGTTTGGAAAGGTCTGTTCTTTAATGTTACCATCTTTACTTCTTCTATTTGCTCAGGTGTCCAGCGTTCATTTCCCCGAGACCATCTGACGTACATCAATGAAATTGGTTCTGGTTGGTTTGGTCAGGTCAGCATATTGTTTATTGAGTTTATTGATCTAAGTTTTTGTAGTTTTGGGATGGGTGTGATTTGCGGGGGGGGGGGGGGGGGGGGCTATTTAAGTTAAACACAGACTTGTTGTGACAGGTGTATGAAGTGATAATATAATTGTATGTTCTTAATTTTTATACATATTTGAAAGACAAAAAGACTGGCAATATAATTGTAAAATCCCACCCTCACATGATTAATTTTTTTTTTCTCTATTGGACTTGCATGTGCTTCCACATCAGTTTGTTCATCTCGTGCTAAGGCTAATTGTCTCCCCTCAAAAGTAAAGACATTTTTTTTTCATTGTGTACTATGTGTTGTGCTAAGATGGACATGTACTTCCATCATCGGAATGCTAGTTTTGCCTTGTTTAGCAGTGTTTTCATCCTTGGCATTTGCCTTCCCTAGTTATCCTGTCTATCCTGACAAAAATTCATAGTTAGACCAGCCTTAACTGTCAGGATGCCTGTCTAACAGCCTTAGTGAATGTATGTCCCAGCCTTGCGCCTCTGCCCCCTCACCTCCACAGCTTATGCTGATGTAAATGATAGAGTAACTATGTTGCTGATGTGTGTTACTATCTTGACAGGCTATTGAGTCTGAGGCTGCTTATCTTGTGGAGGCCAGCACCAAAACAAAAGTTGTGGTTAAAATATTAAAAGATGATGCCTCTAAATTGGAACAGAAACAGTTTATGGAAGAAGTGACAGTTTTCAGGTAAACAGTTTATTGAAGAAGTGACAGTTTTCAGGTAAAAAGTTTATTGAAGAAGTGACAGTTTTCAGGTAAAAAGTTTATTGAAGAAGTGACAGTTTTCAGGTAAAAAGTTTATTGAAGAAGTGACAGTTTTCAGGTAAAAAGTTTATGTGCTCATGTAGCTTAATTTGGAAAAAATGATCTCGAAATTCTAAATGCATTAAGTGACCAAAAAGTGGTTAACTTAAGTTTTTCTCATATTTCCTTATATATTAAATGTGTTTTGTGTCACACCACATCTCATTCTGTCTACCCAGGTGTTTGGACCATGTCAATGTCTTATCATTTCTTGGCCAGTGCACAGATGCTTTACCCTACTTGGTTATTTTAGAGTTTTCTCATTATGTAAGTATTCCTAAATAGCAGAGTAGGCAGATGTATTCTCCAGCCTTACTAAATATTTTTTTGTGAACACTTAAATAATTAAATAATTTTAGTCATGATCTGAAATGTGAGAAATTTAAAATACTTATGGCCAATTTTAATTACAAAGATGTAAAATCATTTTAAAGTGCTAAAAGAACATGAACAATTTTAATTACAAAGATATAAAATTATTTGAATTTGTTCTAATTTCCAGGGTAACTTGAAAACTTACCTCATTGATCACCGACATGACAAGGACAAATGGATAAAAAAGAATCGTCTGATAAGATTTTCACTGGATGTGGCTGCCGGCCTGGCATGCTTGCACAGACATGACTATGTACACAAGTAAGTTCAAATATGTACACGGACATGACTCTACACAAGCAGTTTAAACATTTTATATATAAGACATGGTTCTATGCATAAGTAAGTTCAAAGATTTACACAACTGACATTGAGGTTCACTTTTGAAAGATTCGTAGTGTGAAAAACTCACATGGCGTGTGGGTAGTGTGAAAAACTCACATGGTGTGTGGGTAGTGTGAAAAACTCACATGGCGTGTGGGTAGTGTGAAAAACTCACATGGCGTGTGGGTAGTGTGAAAAACTCACATGGCGTGTGGGTAGTGTGAAAAACTCACATGGCGTGTGGGGAAAAAAGTAAATAATATCATGATTATTTTAAAAAAATATTAATTCTTTAAAAATATGTGGGTTTAACTTTTTTGACAAATGCACTGTTTATTTTAGCGACCTTTCAGCCCGAAACTGCCTTGTGATGTCAAATAATGCAATAAAAATTGGTGACTACGGCATCTCCGATACCCTATTTAAGGTGAGATCAAATAATGTGTTCAAAATATATTTTGATTTTTACTTTCCCTTTGCACCAACTCTATTATAGATATGGCCCATTTCGATATTTTAAAAATTGCCCAACTTCTTCGTTTACAATGATATAATATCTTTTGCTTGCCCGTAATTTCTGTGTGTCGACTCTTGCTGTTAAGGATGACTATTACAACTCTGGCCGAGAGCTTCTTCCCATCAGGTGGATGGCTCCTGAGACCCTTATACAGGTTGACGGGACGTGGACATCCAGTTTAGGAGATAAGGAAACTGATATTTGGTGGGTTGTGTTGTGCTTCTGTTAACATGGGTTCATACTTAATGACAGATAGGTTAGTCTTCATGAACTAATATGATGGTGATTGCCTTTCATGAAAATCCTTTAATACTTACAGCTGTCATTTGACGTTGTTCTTCTTCTTTGATTCTGATACATCAATCTGTCAGTCTAACCAATAATGCTTATTTGGATTTGAAGGTCTTTTTGGCATTTGACTTTGTTCTTCTTCTTAGATTCTGATACATCAATCTGTCAGTCTAACCAATAATGCTTATTTGGATTTAAAGATCTTTTGGTATTTTACTTTGTTCTTCTTCTTTGATTCTGATACATCAGTCTGTCAGTCTAACCAATAATGTTTATTTGGATTTGAAGGTCTTTTGGCATTTTACTTTGTTCTTCTTCTTTGATTTTGATACATTAATCTGTCAGTCTAACCAATAATGCTTGTTTGGATTTGCAGGTCTTTTGGGATTTTACTTTGGGAGATCTTCACCCTCGGGGAGCAGCCCTACAGCATGTTAAGTGATGAGGCTGTGCTGCAAGGAGTGGTGCTGGATAAGTGTGTGCTGCCTACAAAAATGGACCTCAAAGTACCTCAGATGGATCAGCTGTGAGTCATTATTAAAGTGATTAAATGAGTTAAAGATGTTGGTGCCAAATGTGAGTCAGTAGAAGTGTGCAAAATGTACTTCATGTATGTATTCAGGGAAAACCAGTTGCACAATTAAGTGTTAACATCATTCCTGTAAAATAAGGTATTGGAAAGGAAGGAAAAGTATACTTCTTTATACAATATTTAATATGACATTAAAATTGACAAAACACACGAATAACCAACTAAAATTTTAATGAAAATTATTTTAATTAGTTGTGTCATAATTTTTGCCCATTGAATGGAAAATACATTTAAAATAAATATTTAAAAATATCATTATTTTAAATGTTAATAGACTGTTATTTGATAGCAGTGTGGTTTTACCTAAGATAACATTCATATCTAATTCTTCAACTATGTTGCTTGCTAACTTCCTAACTAGCTAGAATGGGGGATGTTTTAAAATTAATATTTCATAGGTCTACATCATACAAAATTTTAAAAGTAGTAACCATATTGGTCATATATATATATAGAAATTCCACTTAATCAAGTTGACTGATTTATCAGGATCTCAGGATGTCACTTGTATAAAGTTTCATGAAGGAAGGCAATTTTATGAAGACATTGGCATAGTTGCCCATTTCTTCTCAGTTGCAAGCAATGAAGAGACCCCAGGCAGATTTGACTTGATACATTTGGGATAGCAACAAAACTTATTAACAGCCAAATAGCAATAAAACTTAACAGGCAAATAGCAACAAAACTTAATCTGCAAATAGCAACATAAAAACTATCTTGGGATGTTGATTATGAAAACTGCACAAAGCAGAAGAAGAGAGCTGAAGGAGTTGAGTTTTGATTTTCTCAGAATTATCATGAAAGTATTAATAAATAAGAACTAATTATAGGCAAGGAAAGGAATGGAAAAATTGTCTGATTAATTTTTATTTCAAACTCATATCTACCTCAAAGTGAAATGTTGTGTTATATCTGTCATGAGTTTTTTGGTTGCTGTCTTTTTCAGTTGGCTGGTGATGGCCCAGTGTTGGCAGAGCCCACTTCAGAGACTGGACATTGAACAAGTGCACCAAAATCTGGAGCAGATTATTGCAGCAGACGCAGCAGCGACTGTCACGGCAGACATTTCTACAGACTTTGATCAGAAGTGGCAGACCTTAATGCCCAACAGACCAGAACTTGGGAGCAGGACAGCTTTAGCAGGGAGTTTTCTTAATGAGGATTCTTCCTCCCCTACGTCAGTCCAATCCTACCTGCTTGGCGGGGAGCTTGGGGCTGGAGATACACCTGGGTTGGATGAAGTGCTCATCGGTGGACAACTAGACAAACCTGGCAATGATCATAGAGTGGAGATGGATTTAGATTTTATTGTGAACGAAAGTAGTCGTCGTCTCTCTGAAAGCAAACCTGTTAAGAATTCTCAACTTAAACATCTTAATCTAAATAATGAGATCCTCGAGACCCAAATTTCAAATGGGACCAGCTTAGCACCACTTTTTATTCCACAAATCAGTAGCACAACTGTCGAAATGCCCACCCTGATAGCTGGCTCTGCTAAAGACCCAAAGGATCAACCGATCACCGTTTCCATCACTAGTAAAAACACAGATCAACTACTGACTTCAAAAGAAGACCTTTCCTTGTCTTCTCAAGGGTTTTCTGGCCTCAGTGGTATGGAAGAGGGTGCAGGTGATAGCAGGAAAGACAATCCTTTAACCAATGAAAGTAACAACAATTTAATGAATATGCATAGCACTTCATTTTCCCTGGAAGAAGATTTTACTGAATTTGCCCGGACGTCTCCTAGATCTCCTATAGATGATTTTACAGAGTCACAGTTAGCTGTAGACAGCTCTGAGGAAATTCCTGGAACACACAATGATTTCTCAGAATTTGTTAGTTCTGCTACTAAAGATATCACTGCGGAAGACCCTATTGAAAGCAAGGACGACTTTGATGAATTTGTAACCTTTTCACAGCCTCCAGAAAGTCAAGTTTTCACTGAAAATCTCTCCAGTCTGGATATACTCTCAGATTTTAAACCCTTCAGCAAGTCAGAAAGTCTTCCAGCTGTCTCTGAAGCTAAAATCAATGCGGAAACCAATGTAAATTCTTCACATCTGTTTGAAGTGGAGAAGGCATCTGATGAATCTAACAACAACCACCACCACCTATCATCTGGGCAGCCACCTTTTTCACTGCTGGAGTCTGTTGATGACACAATCACTAGTTTACCCTCCAATCCTTTCTTTGCCGTGGATGTGCCGGACTCAAGCACCAACAGCGTGGCTACTAACTTACTTAGCCTGACTGGAGGCATTTCAGATTTGACCAGTGACCTAAACAGTTCAGTTGGCCTTGGTTCTGTCAAGCAGCCAGGCCCTGCTGTGGCAGAGGTGCTGGGAGAGTCTGAAGGCATTGCAGCTTTCAACTCAGCCAGCAACATTCCGGAGTCCTTGCAGCACAGATCTTTAAGTGATCAGTTTGAGCCTTTTGATACAAAGAAAGAGGAAAGCAAACTAGAAGCCGGCTTAGAAAAGGTAGGTACCGGTTCTCCTTGTAGCCTTGCTTCCAGCTACGCCAAGTCGGTCATCACATTTGGTGGCATCAGCACCGATCTAAACCTCAGCAGTATTCATTCTAAAATCTCAGCTCAGCCAGCTTCTAGCACATGTTCAGATGACTTTGGACAAGAATGTCTAGTAGATAAATATAATTTTTCTCCACAGTCTCTGTTAGTCCCACCCAGTTCTAGCCACCGCAGAGAAGGAGCAGAAGATGATGGATCCTGCCGTGTTCTTCTTGTTGAGTATACCGATGATTCTCATGAGAACTCGACCAGCCCTTTAGATTCAGACACTGAGGGCAGCACCTGCAGCAGCTCCAGTAGAGAGTACCTCTGTACGGGGGTGTCCGACACGGGCCAGCCTCCGACGGGAGAGCTAGCTGCCCAAACATCAGAAGATCACCTGGACGATAAGGCGTATCAGCTCATCAGTGAAATCTACCTGTCTCGGGGAGTCAAGTCGCCAAGGGTGTTTGAAATGGCTCCATTAGAAACTATTTATGAACATCAGGACATGGTGTTTGTGGAAGAAGCCTCCGCTGGAACACCTTCTGATAATAGTTCTGTAGAAGTTAAGTATGAAGATGCATTTGGAAGTGATAGTTATGAGTGGGATGATCTATATGGAGACCCCATGTTTAGTAGAGATGAACCAGAACAGCAGCAGTTTAGTAGAACATTGACTTCTCAGAAGGAAGAGAATATTTCTGACTGGTCCTTAGACATGGACCAGTTGGAGGATGACCAGTGGGATTCCCCCTCTAACACTACCTACCAAAGCCTTTCAAACATTTTGTCTTCGGTCAGCAGAAGTGACTTGAGCTCATCCAAACAAACATTAGTGTCAAGCCTGCTGACACATCTGCCCACGTCCTGGCCATCTGTTGCCAGTTTGAACCAAAGCAATCTATATTCTTTGACCGATGACTATCAACTAGAAACCGGGTCATCGTCAACTGAACTCAACATCGACGACACAGATTCTAGCATTGAATCTCCGTCCATTTCTCCAACTCATACAACCTCTAATTCTTTTCACTCATTGACTTCCCCTACCATTCCACACTCTGTGTCTTCTTCTACATTTTCATTTTCCAACAATGAGACCTCAGGACCGCCTACTGGCCATGACCTTGTACCTCCATGCTCGCCCCATCATCCTGAGGTAATTTTTTTTTCATTTATTTATTTCATGTGCAATATTATTGTTTCCCCCAAACCATAGAGATGTCATTGGATGGACTAGGGATATTTTCAGCACCAGCCACTTCAGTTTGCATGATCCCTCCATTCAAACCCCTTTACCCCTTTCCCAATATTCACACCCGTTTAACGGTTTTTATTTTTGCTGACGAACATAATGAGTGTAATGAATGTTACAGAACTCATTTTATATTTATTAGGGGCATAGAACGTAACTTCAACACTATCATAACTTCAACACTATCTTAACAACATAACCTCAACACTATCTTAGCTTCAACACTTTCTAATCCACCATTAGTAACAATATAAAATTTATTTGTTTTCACATTTTTGTTAAGTTTTCTTTAAGGCCTTTCACATTTCTTAAAATAAAAATAAAAATATTGCAATATTTTGTGAAAAGCAGGTGACAACTGAATTGAACAAAGCCTCAAGGTATGAACATTTAAAAAAAAGAAAAACTCTACTGGCGATCAAGTAATTTATTTTTATGTTGTCATTTGGAAAAACAAATTGCTTTTCATAATTTATTTTTATGTGCTTTGTTATATGACTAGGTTGTGAAAAAGTTCGCCTTAAACTCTAGGTTTAAACCCGCTTTTTAAAATGACTAGGTTTAAAATAAAGTTAAAATAAACCTTTGTTCAAATAATAGAATAATGATGCAATCAAGGATCAGTTAAATGTGTTATTAGTGTGCTTGAGTTCGTAACTAAAGAGGAGTTTATGACAATGATTTTATACAAAAATGACAATGTACAAATATAAAGATGTTTAGTTTCATGTGATAAGCACATTCATTTGTGGATGCATTAGTGTAAGTAACATTACTGAAACATTATTCTGTAAATGTATTACTGTTCAAAATGTAAAGCCCTACTTGCAGGCAGTGGTGATCTGTAACTAATATTTAACAGATAAACTGCATGATATTTTACACTGAGCTGTCAGTTTACTAACAATTTTCCATATGTTCTGAGCTCGTGTGTAGTGGCTGGCCTCCCATCGGCCACCTCTCCAGTTGGCAGATAAAGGATTGCCCATCAGATATGGCCGCTGCTGCACCAAAGGGCAGCAACTGCTGCCAGCAGTTAATAAAGGGATTTAAAAAGGCTAGGGAACTGACACAAAACAAAGGCAGGTACCCAGAGAGCTGTATGGGCCTTCCACAAGATGGTTGTGTGCAGAGCTAACGACCCTGTCACGGAAAGAAATTCAATGTTACGAAAGCTAGAAAGCTAAATCACAAATGAAATATCAGACTGATATTTATGGATTCCAATCTATGCCTGGACAATAACATGATTTATGGATGGTGACCTGGCATGTTCTAAATCTACACAGAGCAAGAGCGCTGGCCCGCCTCAGTGATGACTTGATAAGATAGTGAATCAATGTTGCTGAACGGCAGGAGATAAGATGGAAAGACTCTGATATACCAAGCATAGCTCTAATGTGCAGAAACAGCAGTTATATAATTAGAGTATTCTAAGAACTTGAAGATGTCTCAGAAAAAGCTGGTGTTGGGGTAAATGAAGAGAAATCAAAGTATATGTAATGTCACGAAACACACATACGGGTGACAACATTAAAATAAACAACTGCATCTTTGAGAGAGTGGCTACCTTCAAATATCTAGTAGCTGCTATAAATGAGCACAATGAAATAATAAAAGAGGTGAAAGTAAGGATAAAAGCAAGCAAACGTTCTTATTTCAGCCTACAAAAGCTACTAGGAAGCAAAAACTCTCAAGGCGAACAAAGAAAGTCATATACACCACTTCTGTAATTTACGCAAGTGAGAAGTGGTCCCTTACAAAAAAAAGCAGAGAACCTGCTCAATACATGGGAGAGGAAAATGTATGGTCCAGTGAAAGATAAGGATGGATGGGGAATTAGTACAGACCAAGAGATATATCAATTGTTGGAAGGCCCACCCATAGTCACAACGATTAAGAAGGGCAGATTGCATTTGACAAGACACCTTGAGAGAATGCTGGATTGTAGAGCTGCAAAAGGCTCACCTGTTGACCAAGACTGAAATGAATTGATGATGTAGATAAGGACCTACATCAACCTGGAGTCCTCGCATGGAGGGGGAAAGCCATACATAGATCGATCCCAATGAAAGGATGTTGTGGAGCAGGCTAGGGCCATGGGCTGTAGCACCACTGATGATGACACATTCTGAGATAATCATACGGTACATTGTATGGCAGCACTGCATCATAATTGTGTGGTTATTAAATTTGTGAACTTCTTACAGTGCTGATATATTCATGCTGTTGACAGTGACTGAATATCATGTTGAAAGACGTGTTATGCTTAAAAGAAGCTTCTGACACACTATCATCTTACTGTACCATTAGTGGACACTTGTGTGCAGAGGTTTGACCGCAAGCTGTTCACAGCATTAGTCATAGCCAACTGAAACTACTTAACAACTTAAACAAAGATTCACTGACAATTCCTCATTTCAACATATTAATCTGATAATCAGACGAGCTTCGATTAATTTTAGACACCATTCTTTGTAGAAGATGTCAGAGGTTGAAAAAGGAAAAGATGTTCCCAAAATGTGTACTTACTGAAGAAATTTTGATTTAATAGTTTTGGAAAAATTGTATCAGTACTTTAACTACATCTTTTTATTATTTTTTATGGGTGAAAATGCTGCATTAAGTTTTCTTAAAGCATGTCTATAAGCTTAAATCTTGAAACATTGATATGCTACTCTGTGTTTGGTATTTCTCAAGAATGACGCATGACGCCGATTATTGCTATACTCTGTTGAATTTAAAAAAGGGCGTCTTATTAAGTATATATGTTTACAGTTAATATTAGTATGAACATTTAAACATTCAAACTCATTTTTTTTTTCTAGAAGCATTTTTCAATTTGAATGTGTATGCACCTCTTATTAAAATTTTAAATTAATTTGTTTAGAATATTTTGTAAGGTTTCTTGGGGAGATGAGGATGAAGAGTTCAACGTTTATTTATATATCAATTCCTTTTATGTATGGCACTTTTGAATATTTTGCTTAAGAACACAAGATAAAATTCAAATGTAAAAAAAAATTGTTTGCCAAAATCCTATTCTGCAACTGTGTAGAGCAGGCCTGCACAACATACGGCCCGCGGGCCGTGGGTGGCCCGCCAGCACCTACTTTGCGGCCCGCAGGGTAACGAAATATTTTTTATTCTTGTTTTTTTCTTAATAGCTTTCCCCCTGGCCTATTTTCTTTTGGCCCGCACAAGTCCTGTCATATTTTCTTTTGGCCCGCTTAAGTTTTTCATAATGTATTACGGCCCGCCTTACATTTTGAGTTGTGCAGGTCTTGTGTAGAGCCTTTGTTCTATTTTAGGTGAAATTTTTGTAGGTAACTTTGGCATTATTTCAGATCTCTCATCACATTCCTTATGTAAATGTTGTGCATAACTTGTAAATTAATCAAGACGAAATTGCGTAAAGTTGGAGAAACTTGTCTTTGATTGGGTCTGGAAATCTCTTGTCTATGGCCTCTGTTTGGGGGGGGGGGGGGTGCTGCAACAGTCAAGCATTACCTAAAGTAAATCTTCATATCTTTTTTATTGGAAGCAAGGCTGCAGGGTTATTGACAGAACTTATAATAAAGCATTCTACTTTTAGTGGAACCCTATCAGAAACAATGAAACATCTTATCCACTTACATGTGTTTCTTGTAGATTAAAAAACAAAATTTTTTATACATTGTTCACTGCCACTTTATCAATTATCAAATCATCTGGTACCAAAACAATTGGCGTATACCATTTTTTTAAATGTCGTACATTTTGCTTTCTTTTTTTTAGTGTTGGGTGCAGAAATATTTTTTGTTTGTTGTTGTATACAGTCCTTACACTTCACACTTGCATGCTGGGATGGGTATTTTATTTCGTCTTCTCAAAACACTGGCCTACACTATTTGTCTTTCATTTGCTCTAGAGTTCACCATCTAATTTATTCCTCTAGATAGACATTAGTTCGTCTACAAGAAAATCTATTTAGACTTTTTAAAAAAAAAATATCATTGTCTTGTGATTTGATACCGACAAAATTAGGCTTTAAGTTTTAGGTAACATTCTTAAAGAAGCAGATTTGAAGGCTTGTTTCTGGTTTGATCATCAAGGATGTGATAAATCCTTCTAAGGTAGAATAAAATAAGGTCATCTATAGTTCACTGTGTTTGCTTTGTTGTGTTGATGAAGGTATACATT